CCGCTCCGTGGTCAGCCCCACCCTGGACCCGCTGCAGTTCGCCTACAGACCCAACATTGGAGTAGAGGACGCCGTCATCTACTTCCTGCAGCGGACGCTCTCCCACCTGGAGCCCGCCGGGAGCGCTGTGAGGGTCATGTTTTTCGACTTCTCCAGCGCTTTCAATACCATCAGGCCGGCACTGCTGCAGGGGAAGATGGAGGACGCGGGAGTGGACAGTAGCCTCACTGCATGGACCATCAACTACCTCTTAGACCGACCACAGCACTGGGGCCCCTCAGGGCACTGTCCTTTCACCGTTTCTCTTCACCATCTACACCTCAGACTTCACACACGACACACACAGCTGTCACCTGCAGAAGTTCTCCGACGACTCCGCCATCGTGGGCTGTGTGTCTGAGGGGAACGAACTGGAATATCGGTCGGTTATCAAGGACTTTGTCGACTGGTGTGAGTGCAACCACTTGTGCTTGAACACCAGTAAGACCAAGGAGATGATCATCGACTTCAGGAGAAAACCACTTTCCCACACGCTGCTGAACATCCAGGGGGAGGACATTGAGCTGGTGGACAGCTTCAAGTACCTGGGTGTTCACATTAACAATAAACTGGACTGGTCCCATAATGGCCCTTCTGCACAAGAAGGGCCAAAGTTGCCTCTTCCTTCTGAGGAGGCTGAGGTCCTTCGGAGTGAGCAGGCCTCTGCTCAGGACTTTTTATGACTCTGTGGTAGCTTCTGCCATTTACTACGCTGCCGTGTGCTGGGCCCCGGGCAGCACAGAGCGGGACAGAAACAGACTGAACAAGCTGGTCAGGAGGGCCAGCTCCACTCTGGGCTGCTCCCTGGACTCTGTGAAGGAGGTGAGGGACAGGAGGGTGCTAGCCAAAGCCACCTCCATCATGAACAATACCTCCCACCCACTGCACAGGACTGTAGAGGAGCTGAGGAGCTCCTTCAGTGGAAGACTGAGACACCCTCAGTGTAGGAAGGAGCGCTACCGCAGGGCCTTTATCCCCACCGCTGTCAGACTGTACAATAAGTCACTTTAAATGATCACTGTGTGAAAACCTGCACTACTATTGACACTGTTTCCAATAGACACTTGTCACTTTTGTTTTACATAATTATTGTCACTTTTATTGTACATATATATCCTGCATGTAACATGTTTCCACATTTCCTCCCTTTGCACAATCTGAGTGTTCTATCCATGCCAAATGTGACATGTAAATTTCTCCTCTGTGAGATAAATAAAGCTTATCTTATCAAGTTTTCAGTAACTTCACCACAACCACAGACTCAGAATCACTGAATCAAACACAGAAAACTCTCTTCCTCCTGCCTCTGATATAACTCAGATATATGTAACAATCTGCTTTTGACCTGAACATATTGTTCAATGACCCAGATGAGGTCAAAGACATGCGGCAGCACGTCTCCATCTATCACTGACCTGCTGCCAACAGAGCATTATGGCCTGTATTTGAATCCAGAGTTGACTATTAGTTAATAACTTACACTCATAACTATTTTATGTTAATTAGGCCCGAGCCCCGAACGGGGTAAGGGCCTATTGCTTTCACAATGGTGAAAACAAATGGTGGCGGTGCGTGACGGACGCGTCAGCGCCCGTCACGCACCAAAATGTGACGGTTGCGTGCGTAAACTCAAACACTTTAAAATTATGTATCAGGTGCCATTGAAACCTATATGGTTTTTGCTCGAGACGTTAAAAAAAAAATCCTTTTTTATTTATTAGGCCCGAGCCCCGAACGGGGAAAGGGGCTATTGTTTTTGCTCGAGAGATGTCAAATTCTGCACTTTGAGCCTTAATTTCACCCCCTGAACATGCATGAAAAGTTGTAAAATTTTGCCCAAACATCACACCTGGTGAAAAATTTGATATTTGGGTGTTTATTTTTATGGGACTCAAAAACTGCCAGAACAGCGCCACCTACAACAGCCAATGGGAGTTTCAGAGGTCAAGTTTGTCGTAGAGCCATGAAATTTGGTACACATGTTCCTCAAGTCAAGATACGACCAAAATGTTACCATGGCTCCGCCCTCTGACAAACAGGAGGCCCATAAATTTCACTGCAAAACGGAAAAATGATCCGCAATAATTTTCATACATGTCGGTTGGAAAGCGACTCCTCCTCGGCCGTTTCACCGATTGGCCTCCATATCACTCCACATTGTCTAAACACATGTACCATCAAAATGACCTCAGGGATTTTTGATCAGTGAAACGTTGTTTGAGCAGCGGAGCGGCAAAATGTGACCTTTTTTTGGCAGTTTTTGACAACATTAAATTTGCTCCTGTTTGCACAAACAAAGTCTGATTTGCACAAAACTTTAATACATTGTTTAACTCTAGGGTCTAGGTCATTTGAAAGTGAATTGATTCAAATTGACACATTAGCGCCCCCTACAGACTATTTCAAAGTTTTAGATGGGCATTTTCAAATTTAGTTTTTTCAAAATGTTTGAAATTTTGCACATAAATCTGTTTTGCCCTCTTGATTCAAAAAGTCAATAGGGTCCAAGGCTTATTTTTTACCCTGTTGCCGTGGCGATGACAAACGCTCCCCATTCATTGCAAATGTACACCTCACACAAACATCAAACCAGCCTCGGCCGTTGCACCAATTCGCCTCAAAATCGCTCCACATTATCTCAACACATGCATCATCAAAATGACTTCAGGGAATTTTGATCAGTGAAATGTTGTTTGAGCAGCGGAGTGGCAAAAGTGGCGTATTTTTTTTTTCAATTTTGACAATAGAAAAATTGCTCCCGTTTGCACAAACAAAGTCTGATTTGCACAAAACTTTAATACATTGTTCAACTCTAGGATTTAGGTCATTTGAAAGTGAAATAAATTAACTTGGCTCATTAGCGCCCCCTACAGATGGGGTCAAAGTTTTTAGTATGGGAGCGTTTCGAGGTCAAGTTTGCTGTATAGGCATGAAATTTGGTACACATGTTCCTCATCTCAAGACACAAATTAAAAGTTATTATGGCCCCGCCCCCTGACAAACAGGAAGCCCATAAATTTCACTTCAAAATGGACAAATGAAACATGATCCTTTTCACAAGTGTCGGTTGGAAAGCGACTCCTCCTCGGCCGTTTCACCGATTTACCTCAAAATCGCTCCACATCGTCTAAACAAATGTACCATCATTTTGATTTTACAGACTTTTGATCAGTAAAACGTTGTTTGAGCAGCGGAGCGCCAAAAAGTAGCGTACTTTTTTTTCAGTTTTTGACAATAGAAAAATTGCTTCCGTTTGCACAAACAAAGTCTGATTTGGACAAAACTTGAATCCATGGTTCAACTCTTGGGTCTAGGTCATTTGAAAGTTAAAATTTTGAAATTGACTCTATAGCGCCACCTACAACAGCCAATTTAAAAATGCCTATGGGAGGGGTTCGAGGTCAAAATTATCTTAGAACCATGTAATTTGGCACACATGTTCCTCAAGTCAAGACATGGAAAAATTCTGATTATGGCTAAGCCCTCAGACAAACAGGAAGCCCATAAATTTCATTGCAAAATGGAAAAATGAAAACCAATCATTTTCATACACGTCGGTTGGAAAGCGACTCCTCCTCGGCCGTTTCACCGATTGGCCTCAAAATTGTTCCAAAATGATCTAAACACATTTACCTTCCAAATGACTTCAGGAAATTTTGATCAGTGAAACGTTGTTTGAGCAGCGGAGCGGCAAAATGTGAGGGTTTTTTTGGCCGTTTTTGACAACATAAGTTTTTTTCCCGTTTGCACAAACAAAGTCTGATTTGCATTAAACTTGAATCCATTGTTCAACTCCAGGGTTTAGGTCAGGTGAAAGTGAAATATTTGAAATTGGCCCAATAGCGCCCCCTAAAGACTGAGTCAAAGTTTACATGGGGAGCCAAACCAGCTCTACTTATCATATTCATTACAATTTGACTAAAAATCTTCTATGGTTACGGGAACAAATAATCACACGGCGGCGCCACCTCCTTTGAGCGGTGCTGCGTGGTACGGTGCGGTGCGGCATAGTACGGGGCGTTGTGGAGCGGCGCGTTGCGGCTTGGTGCAGGGCGGCGTGATGCGGGACGGCGTGGTGCAGGGCGGCGTGGTGCGGGGCGGCTTGGCACGGGGTGGTGCGCGCGGTGCGGCGAGGGCCATTCGACGCCGCTTGCGGCTTTAATTTCTTTCTGTCTTTCTTTCTTTTTTCTTCTGCACTTTGAGCCTTAATTTGACCCCCTGAACATGCATGAAAAGTTGTTAAATTTTGCCCAAAAATCAGACCTGGCAAAAATTTTGATATTTTGGTGTTTATTTTTATGGGACTCAAAAAATGCCAGAACAGCGCCACCTACAACAGCCAAAATAATACCCCTATGGGACTTTCGGAGGTCAAGTTTGTTGTAGAAACATGAGATTTGGTACTCATGTTCCTCAAGTCAAGACAAGAAAAAAATATTATTATGGCCCCGCCCTCTGACAAACAGGAAGCCCATAAATTTCACTGCAAAATGGAAAAATGAACAGCAAAAGTTTTCATACATGTCGGTTGGAAAGCGACTCCTCCTCGGCCGTTTCACCGATTCACCTCAAAATCGCTCCACATCATCTACGGGGCGTTGTGGAGCGGCGCGTTGCGGCTTGGTGCGGGGCGGCTTGGTGCAGGGCGGCGTGATGCGGGGCGGCGTGATGCGGGGCGGCGTGATGCGGGGCGGCGTGATGCGGGGCGGCGTGATGCGGGGCGGCGTGGTGCGGGGTGGCTTGGCACGGTGTCGCTTGGCACGGGGTGGGCGGGGGTTGCGCGCGGTGCGCGGTGTCGCGCGGTGCGGGGTGTCGCGCGGTGCGGCGAGGGCCGTTTGACGCCGTTTGCGGCTTTAATTTAGATTGCTTTACTAAAATATTTCTATAACAGTACCCCAAGTAAAAAAGTGAATGGCCATTTGTGTGGTGGCCATATTTGCCACCATGTTGTCATGGCGATGTCAGAAAGACCCCAGAAAGACCAGGAGGTACCAGAAGCTGGAGAGAGGAGGAGGAGCAGGCAGGTGGTACCAGAAGCTGTAGAGAGGAGGAGTAGTAGGCAGGAGGTACCAGAAGCAGAGAGGAGGAGGAGCAGGCAGGAGGTAGCAGAAGCTGTAGAGAGGAGGAGGAGCAGGCAGGAGGTACAAGAAGCTATAGAGAGGAGCAGGAGTAGGCAGGAGGTACCAGAAGCTGTAGAGAGGAGGAGTAGTAGGCAGGAGGTACCAGAAGCTGTAGAGAGGAGGAGTAGTAGGCAGGAGGTACCGTAAGCTGGGAAGAGGAGGAGTAGTAGTCAGGAGGTACCGTAAGCTGGGAAGAGGAGGAGTAGTAGGCAGGAGGTACCAGAAGCTGGGAAGAGGAGGAGGAGTAGGCAGGAGGTACCAGAAGCTGTAGAGAGGAGGAATAGTAGGCAGGAGGTACCGGAAGCTGGGAAGAGGAGGAGTAGTAGGCAGGAGGTACCGGAAGCTGGGGAGAGGAGGAGGAGTAGGCAGGAGGTACCAGAAGCTGTAGAGAGGAGGAATAGTAGGCAGGAGGTACCTGAAGCTGGGAAGAGGAGGAGTAGTAGGCAGGAGGTACCGAAAGCTGGGAAGAGGAGGAGGAGTAAGCAGGAGGTACCAGAAGCTGTAGAGAGGAGGAGGAGGAAGGCAGCTGTGTTTTGGACCAGTTTGAGTTCAAGGAGAGTTTTTGGAGGAACACGGAACAGGAGGGAGTTACAGTAGTCGAGACGGGAGGTGACGAGGCTGTGTGTGAGTGTGGCAGTGGTGTGAGGGGAGAGAGAAGGGGAGAGTCTGCGAATGTTTCTGCGGTGGAAGCAGGCAATGCGGGGGATGTTGCTGATGTGGGCGATGAAGGAGAGGGGGGAGTGGGTGGATTTGATGCCAATGTGGAGGAATTCAGTTGTATGGATGTTAGGTTTGAGGATGTTTGCACTGATCCAGGACTTCATTTCCTGGAGGCAGTTATAGTGAAAGAGGAGGGTGGGAGAGTGGAGTTTGATTTGTGATTATTTCTGAAAATGTGACCAAGAGAGAGAAGGGAGATTAAGAAAAACAAGGGGCCAAGGACAGAACCCTGTGGAACACCAGAAGTGACGGAAAAAGAACGAGAGGGAAAATATTTAAGATGGACGGACTGGACTGGACTGTCAAATGCTGCACTGAGATGAAGCAGGAGGAGGCTGGAAAGTGAGCCGGAGTCAGCGCTTTCAGTGCTGTGGAGGGCATGGAAGCCAGATTGACATTGTTCCTGAAAGGTTATTTTGGGAAAGGTAACAGTGGAGTTGAGCAGCGGCAGTTGTTATGTATAGAGATGTCTGTTGTAAGAGAGAGTGTCTAGATCAGAACTACACTGAATAAATGACAAACGTTACCAAAAAACCTTTTGTGAATCTCTTTGAGGAAAATATTCAGTATTTCTTACATTTGAGAGTAAGGTTTTTTAAGAGAAACACTGTGTACATTTACAGCCAATTTAACATGAAACAAAAAGTCAAGATTCTTTCAGCAGTGAGTAGTTTCTGTGAACAGAGGATCAAACTCACATTCACCTCATTGCTTTTTTCTACTCAATGTAAACAATCATGGATTGTTTACAATACTTAATGTGACATCAAGTGTGGGGCGACAGTGGCTCAGTTGGTAGAGCAATGGCCTTTGAGCCTGAAGGTCGTGGGTTCGAGCCCACCACAAGACCTACTTCACGACTCCCACTGATGACTGCTGTCTTTCTGTCCTTGGGCAAAACGCTTAACCTCACTCTGTCTGAAGCCCCCACTGAAAGATCTCAGCTCCTGTGGACTCACCACCTGCAGGAGGATCAGTGAGGGGCTGGTGCTCTGTGTACTGGGTGCAGCTTGGACTGCCACCCCCCTGACCCAGAAATGGATTAAGGGGAAGAAAATGGATGGTTGGAATGTAACATTACCAACCAGTGAGGGCAGAAGGGAAGCTGCAGACACACATTCACACTATTGCATCATGTTACAAATTGTTATTGTTTATACAAACATCTCAAGCCACATATGCTAAAAGGTGATTCAAAACTGAGGCGAGTTTTCAGTAGCTCCACCACAACCACATGAGCCAGACTCAGCCGAACTAAAGCCGGCCTTTTAGATGAATGTAGTATTTATTGATCAGGTCTTTTCCCCTTTGCCCCTTTTCCCAGGCAGGCATACAGACTTATTTTAGATGATTAGTTTTCTGTGCCGCCAGTGTAGCGTGTGTTACATACAAATATTAATATAATTTCATTACTATTTACTTGGGTAAAAAAATATTTGTATAACATATAACTGTTTTTTTTAATTCACTACTTCAGTTGCTTTGGGTTACTTTTTACACAGATAGATCTTTTATTTGTTCCCCACAAGTTTTATTTACTATAATCTTCTTGTTTCCTCCAATATTTGAAAACGGTGAGAAAACAAAGACAATTTTCACTTACATTAGTTACGCATGTAACTTGAGTTGTTTGTAACTAGTACTTTGTCACATGTTACACAACTCTAAAAAAAAAACAACGGCAAAAACAGAAACTGGGCTCAGTCCTACTCAGTCGTGCAAATGTATACCTGCTCTTAGCTTTGCTCACTTACAACTCACTGTTGTATGAACCTAAAACCCTAAAATATAAAGTGTTCTAATTTGAATTTACATGCATAGACAGATGATTATTATTGGATTTCTTTTGTACTGTATAATCCCTCAATGAGGTGAAAAAGAAAAGAAAAAGGAATAATTCCATTACTTACAACTGCAGTGCAATTCTATTTAGTAACCAGTAGATGGCAGCATTCCCACATGCTGTCACATGCAAATCTACAGCCTGAAAGAAGATCCAAGAGTTGATTCTTGATTTGCGGGTGATATAAAACCATGGTAAAACACGCAAGGCAAGGCAAGGCAAGTTTATTTGTATAGCACAATTCATACACAAGGCAACTCAAAGTGCTGAACAAGATAGCATTAAAATCATAAACAATCACAGAACATTAAAAAGAAAGATAAAAACATAAAATCCCTCAGTTGTATGCACAGCTAAACAGCACCGTTTTTAACCTGGTTTTAAACATTGTCAGAGAGGAGGCCTGTCTCACATCTTCAGGAAGATTGTTCCAGATTTTAGCAGCATGAATCTGAGAAGCAGCCTCCCATGTTTAGTTCTGACTCTGGGCACTAACAGGAGTCCAGTCCCTGTGCTCCTCAGAGTCCGGGCTGGTTCATATGGGACTAACATGTCACTAATATATTTTAGTGCGAGGCCATGGAGAGACATGTACACAAGTAGAGCTGTTTTAAAGTCTATTCTCTGAGCCACAGGAAGCCAGTGCAGAGACCGGGTTAGGACCGGACTAATATGGTCGTACTTCCTGGTTCTAGTCAGGACTCGGCTGCTGAATTTTGAATGTACTGCAGCTGTTTTACAGCCTGTTTGGACAGACCTGTGAGCAGGCCATTGCAGTAGTCTAACCTACTGGAGACAAATGCATGGATAAGAATCACCAAGTCTGCTTTAGACACCATGTTTTTGATCCTGGCAATGTTTTTAAGATGGTAAAAAGCTGCTGATGTTACTGATTTGATGTGGCTATTAAAATTTAAGTCTGAGTCCAGTATTACCCCTAGATTCTGTCCTTGTTTTAAGGTTTTAGGGAGAGAGACTGTAGATGACAGATGACGCTCTCTCTTTGTTTCTGGGGACCAAAGACAATCATTTCAGTTTTGTCTGCGTTTAGCTGAAGGAAGTTGTTTTGCATCCACTCACTGATCTGTTGGATACAGTGAAGGAGTGAGTCCACTGGTCCATGTTCTCCTGCAGTCAGTGAGACATAGATCTGAGTGTCGTCTGCATAGTTGTGATAGGACACTTTGTTTCTGCGTATTAACTGACCTAACGGCAGCATGTAGAGATTGAACAGAAGAGGTCCCAGGATCGACCCCTGTGGTACTCCACAGGTCAGGGCCATATGATCAGACACATTTTCCAATCTCCACAAAGTACTTACTGTCTTCAAGGTAAGACCTAAACCAACTTAGGGCGGTGCCAGCGACGCCAACCCTGTCCTCTAGTCTCTGTAAGAGGATCTCATGGTCGACAGTGTCAAAGGCAGGGCCGGAGTGGGACAACATTTCAGGCCGGGAGGTTTTCATCCATTCAGGCCAAACAAGGTTCTAAATTTGGGTTTTTGTCATTGTATTTTGATGTTCTTTTAATAGTTTTAAGATCAAAAACTTTTGTTTTCTTTTTTTTTTTATATTGACTGTTTATATAATCTCGGACGTTTAAGGATTGTTTGTAACGTTTATGGAGTTTAGTGAGAATAAAGACACACACACACAATGAACTAAGTGTTCATTAGTGTATAACTATAACAAGCTAATCAATTATTGTTAAAAAAGTAGAAGGTAAAATCACATCGTTACAGCTCATATAAAAGGAAAAATAAAAACGTGTATGAACCATCAGTTGGAGAGACCACTGATTTCAACCGGGGAAGCTACACTGGGTGCACTGCTAGGCTGGCTTGGCTGTGTAGCCGACGTGTGACGTCACATTTGTTTAATTTTGCTCTGGCCCAATGACAGTAAAGCTTTGGCCAGTGTTGTGCCAGTTCACAGCTTTTCTGAACTACTTCAAGTTCAGTTCATACATGCTCAAAGTGAACAGTTCACGTTCGAAGTTCTCAATTTTAATTCTGAACTAGTTCAAAGTTCAGTTCATTTTACTTTTTGCGAGATATTCAAATAAATATTTTTTTTCACTACGAGCTAGAAATCACAATACGTGGTATATATATAATATATATAATATATATATATATATATATATATATATATGTAACAGGTGTTAAAGGTTGGTTAAAATCCTGATAATAGGATCGGTGCAATTGTGTTAGTACGTACCTGGCAGTGTATGTTAGCTCATGTATGTCTTTTATTTTGGTCGTCTGGCCCAACACTTGTCACTTCCGGTTTGCCGGTATTTGCCGGTATTTAAGCTAGCTACGGTATTTAAGCTAGCTACGGTATTTAAGCTAGCTACGTTCTGTAGCTAGCTTAGGTCCTAGATCATTAGCCTGTCCGTCCGGAGGAGCGGATCCCTTTCTCATATGGGTCTCCCTCCCTGTGGGTTTCCCTAGTTCTCCTCCAAGGTTTCTCACTTTTTCCCACTGGGTTTTTTAAGAGTTTTTCCTTGTCGATGCAGGAGGGTCTTGTTGGACAGTTAGTGTCCAACAGAAAGGATTGGTGATGATCAGGACACTTTAGCATTCTACAACATGTATGGACATTTTCTTCTGTGTGTGCTTTATACTGTATTCTTCATGTGTTTTAACTGTTGATTCTCTGACCTGTGTTGGTGATTTCAATGGTTTTGTTAAGTCCTCTGAGATGACTTCTGTTGTGACCTAGGGCTATACAAGAATAAATTGTATTGTATTGTATTGTATTGTATTGTAAGTCAGGCTCCGCCTCTTCCTCCTTTCTCTTTCCCCTGATGTCTAAGAGAAAGGTAGCTGGTTTTAATATCTAGAGGCATCGTGTATTTAAAATTAACATCTATGTAATTTCATCTTGTCTTTTATGTTATTACATTGTTTTAGTGTCATCCCTGTTATTATTTAGTACTTATGTGTTTTCTGTTTCCTCTGTTTTATGTTCTTAGGCCGTGTTGGGCACACACATGTTTGGGCTAACGCCATTTATTTTATATTCCTTCGCCAGGTATGTAATGTACATTTATGTTTGGCTCTCTTTCCCCTGATGTCTAAGAGAAAGGCCGTGTTGGGCACACACATGTTTGGGCTAACGCCATTTATTTTATATTCCTTCGCCAGGAAATAAAAGGGTTTCGGCGTTGCCAATCCCAATTGCAGCCAAGTCTCTTCTCTGGGTTCAGAGCACCGTACACAACGCAGGGTCGCTATAGCACAGGTCACATTGGTGCCGTGACATCCGTTTAGGACCGGACCAGACGACGTCGGGTCCACGGTGCATGCTACTCGGGTTCCAGGACGTTCGCCTGTACCACCGTCGCCTCGCCGCTGGGAGTCGCCATCGCCACACGTGGGGCTGTCGGCGCTCGAACCAACGGGGCTGAAAATTGCATCACCTACGCCAGCGTCTACTTCACGCCGCGGGGATGGATCCGGAGGAGCTGCGCACGCCTGCCATGGTCGGCAGAGGGCGCGGGGGTTTGGTGTCCCCTCTCCCGTTTCCTTTGAGTGGTGTGGGTAGTAGTGTTGCCCGAGGCAGAGCTACGCCTCGTAAGATGAACAATGTGTGTTTTGGTCTGCCTAAGTGCAGTACGGGACATGTGGTTGATGATGAAACTGTGGGGGGTATGAACCAGATGAGCGACATGATGCAACAGATGGGTCACATGTTAGCTGATAATATTGTGTCTAGGTTGAATTCATCCAGCTCTTCCGGCGAGCCTCCCAGGGCTCCTGATTCGTCTCCACAAGCCAATGGTTCCATGAACAGTCGTAGTTTGAACCTTTCAAATGTCACATTTATCGAAAAGGGTGCCAAAGAGCCCCCGGTGTTTAGAGGGGATGGTTCAGATGTGTTGGCCGTCGATGAATGGGAGGACTTGATGAAGGTTTATCTCCGCAAAAGTAATGTTCCCATCGAGTGTAGTATGGAGGAAGTCCTTGTCTATTTAAAGGGCAAGGCTAGAAATGTCGTGAAATTAGGACTTAAAAATGGAGGTCTGGATTCCACACAAGGGCCCGAAGCTATTTACGGTCTTTTGCGTAAACATTTTGGCGCCGGCCTGTACTCCTCGGTCCCCCTCGCTGATTTCTACTCCATCCGTCCCACAGCTAACGAGGGTCCATATGATTTTTGGTTACGGTTAAACAATGCTGCGGACACCGCCGCTAGCTGCCTTGCAGGGCTTGGGAAATCCTCCGATATTCCTGGGGGGGACGTCACCCGCTTATTCATAAGACACTGTCCGAACAAAGAACTTTCTTACACATTCCGGTCTAAGACTATCGATAAGTGGTCGGCTCGCGATGTCCAGGAGGTGCTGGACGAGTACCATTTAGAACATAGCTCCAAGGGAATCGGTGTAATGAACACAGTTACTGTGAATAAAAGTGATGTTGCCGCTGAGGTGCCCCCCGCTGCCAACGTAACCGACCATTCTATGTTTGAGAAACTCGCCGCCATGTTAGAAAAGGTTTTGTCACAAACTCAAGATGGCGCCCAGGTTGCTCGGAGACCGCGTCGAGACACACGGTATCCCAAGATGGACGGTTTGAACAGCATGCCGTGTGCGGTCTGCAAGGATGTGTCTCACACCGCGTACACGCATTGTATGAAGCATAAACTGTGTTTTCGATGCCACGCGCAGGGCCACTCCAGCCGCGAATGTCCCCGGGCCGTTAACACTTCTCCCTCCGGGCCTCAGGGAAACTAGCCAGTCTGCGTGTAGGGGAGGACAGCGCAGATAGGGATTCTCCACCTCCCACAATGGACAGTGCAGTACGGTTCGGGCCCGCCCGTGTAGGTTACGGTGACAAGTTGCCGTTGGGCAAGACACCAGTTGTACAAGTACTGCAGAGACTTTCAGAAACAGACTCGTTATTTCACACGGACGTTATCATGGACAACTGTTTTGTCCTCAAGGCCCTAGTGGACAGTGGGTCTATGGCGTGCACTATTAGCGAACAGACTGATTTAATGCTGCAGAGGGATTTTCCGGAGATTGACAGGAAGCGAGCGGACGAGTATGTCATCGTGGGCTGCGGAGGTCAACCGGTAATACCTACAGCTATGTACGACCTCTCTGTTTTGGTGTACGGTGTCAAAGTCATTGTCCCAGTCCTAGTAGTTCCGGGCCAGTCCGACAGCATGATCCTGGGGAGCAACGTTTTGAAATGGCTCATGATGCAGATCGAAAATGGTGCAATAGACTCGAGTAAGATGGGCGCTTTTGGCAAAGAGCTACCCAAGCTGCTATCGCTCTTGTCCCATACAGTGCACCGTACTGACGCTTCGCCTTTGGATTTTGGGACTGCAAAGTTAAAAAGGTGTGTTACGTTGCAGCCTTTGACTGAGCATTTAGTGTGGGCTAAGTTACCGTCTGTAGACGCTTCGGCGGTAGGGAGCTCTGTTATCGTAGAACCTACTCGATCTAAGACGAGACCAGCGCAGATCTTAGTGGGGAGAGTTGTCACCACTCTGTATGCGGATGGGTTGGTTCCCGTTAAAATTGTCAATCCCACGAAGAGAACACTTGTACTGAAAAAAAATGCCAAACTCGTGGACGTTTCGCCTAGTTTGTCAGTACAGGATCTACCGGAGCCACAACGTGTTCAGTCAAACACCCAGCGCACGATGGAGACTCCGGTTTTGAAAACTGAGGAAGAGATAAACAAGACACTCATGGACATGGGACTCCCGGAAGTTGACATCACGTCTTGTGAGGTGTCATTGGAGTGGAAGAACAAGCTACTCAATCTGATCGAGCGATACGACTCCACGTTCTCAAGGCACAAGATGGATTGTGGAGAAGCGAAAGACTTTGTACACAGAATCCGGTTGATGGATGACAAGCCGTTCAGACTTCCGTACAGGCGTGTCCCTCCTTGCCATTACGAAAAATTGAGGACAGCTTTGAACGAGATGGAGGAAGTCGGGATCATCAAGAAGTCACAGAGCGAGTATGCGTCTCCTCTCGTCCTCGTCGTGAAACCCAATGGTGATTTACGCATCTGTAATGACTTTCGGTGGCTTAATGCAAGAACTATTAAAGATGCACACCCCTTGCCCCACCAGACTGATGCGCTCGCTGCGCTTGGAGGCAATGTGTTCTTCTCCACCATGGATCTCACCTCGGGGTTTTACAACGTCCCGCTACACGAGGACGACAAGCGGTTCACCGCCTTCTCTTCCCCGTTCGGGCTGCACGAGTACAACAGAATGCCTCAAGGACTGACCAACAGCCCCGCAACGTTCATGCGCATGATGATGTCGATCTTCGGTGACAAAAACTTTACCAGTTTATTGTGTTATCTCGACGATTTGATGGTGTTTGCGCCGTCCGAACAGATTGCGCTAGAGCGGTTGGAGATGGTATTTTCGCGGTTAGCTGCTAATAACCTTAAGCTTTCCCCCAAGAAATGTCATTTCCTCCGGCGTTCTGTAAAGTTTTTGGGACACATCGTCTGCGAGGAGGGCATGAAAACCGATCCCAGTAAAGTCCAGGCCATCGGCGATATTAGGGAGGCGGACCTCATGGAGGCAGACGGTAAAACCCCCAGTGCCAAAAAGATTAGGTCCTTTTTAGGCATGGCCTTGTATTACCACCACTTTATCGAAGGCTGTTCGGCCAAGGCTAGACCCCTGTTTAGTCTCGTGTCAGAACCTTCCACTCCTGAGAAAAAGGGTAGACCTCCCAGGCCTAAGTTCAAGAAAGGTTTAGTGAGATTGACCCCCACTGACTGGACTGACGACTGTAGGGAAGCGTTCGAGACCCTCAAACATGATTTGATACACAGTGTAACGTTGGCTCACCCAGATTTTGACGCTCCTTTTATCCTAGCTGTTGACGCTTCTTTCGACGGGATAGGCGCTGTTCTTTCGCAACTGTCACCTGGTAGTAAGATCGCCAGACCTGTGGCTTTTGCCAGTAAAACATTGTCTCAAGCACAGTTGAATTATCCCGCTCACCGTCTGGAGTTTTTAGCTCTTAAGTGGGCTGTATGCGACAAATTTGGCCATTGGTTAAAGGGAAGGACTTTTTCTGTTTGGACTGACAATAATCCACTGACTTATATTTTGACCAAGCCCAAACTTGACGCTTGCGAACAGAGGTGGGTGGCGAAGTTGGCGGCGTATAGCTTCGATCTTAACTATGTCCCGGGCCCTAAGAACGTAGTTGCTGACGCACTCAGTAGGGAGCCTTTTGTTAAGTCTTGCGTGGCTCACCGTCTCGTGTCTGAACCGTACTCTCACCTGCTCGCCCAAGTTAGTGAGTTAGCGGACCAGAGAGTCCAAGATGCGTTTAGGTGCACTAACAACTGCCAACGCGTAGACCAGTCTGGGGACTCTGCCAATTCGCTTTCCCCACAGCCTTCTCTGTCTTTCGACGAAGTCCAAGCGGTGTTAAGTGTCCATAGTGAAGACAATACCAGCCCGTTGCGTGTCACATGTGCTGAGGTCCCGCAGCTAGCGTGTATCACTGACAGTACTTCACTCCCGCTGAGCCAGCTTGTGTCCATGCAAGAACAGGACAACACTCTGAGTAGAGTCTTTTATTACGTACAAAGACGAAAAAGACCCTCAAATCGTGAGCGTGCACGCGAGCCAGGTGGGGTGAAGAATCTACTTAAACATTGGCCGAAGCTGTCTATTAGGGACGGATTGCTGTTCCGGTCAAAGAGAGACAATAAAATGAACGTGACGCTCCATCAGTTCGTTGTGCCGAGCGCTTTGAAACAACAAGTCCTCACTGGCCTCCACGACTCAGCGGGTCACCAGGGCCAAGCGCGGACGCTGTCTCTGGCCAGGCAGAGGTTTTTCTGGATGGGGATGGAAAAAGACGTCATCAATCACGTCAGGAAATGCTTCAGGTGCGTCGTGGGTAAAACCCCAGAGCCACATGGACGTGCGCCCTTGGAAAGTATCCAAACCTCGGAGCCGATGGAGTTGGTTTGCATCGATTTCTGGACGGCTGAACAAACGGACAAAAAATGCGTCGATGTTCTGGTTGTCACCGACCACTTTTCGAAAATGGCACATGCATTCCCCTGTAAGAACCAGTCAGCCAAACAAGTTGCCCGCCGACTGAGGAATGACTTTTTCTGCGTGTACGGCTTCCCAAAGCGCATACATTCGGACCAAGGTGCAAATTTCGAGAGTAGCTTGATGAAAGAACTTTTGACGCTGTCTGGGGTCCAAAAGTCGCACACGACGCCGTACCATCCTATGGGGAATGGCATCACAGAACGGTTCAACAGGACTCTGGGGAATATGATCCGTGCCTTGCCCCCCCAGTCGAAAGCGAGGTGGCCCCAGATGTTGCAAATGCTTACCTTTTGCTACAATTGCACAGAACATGAGACCACGGGATTTGCGCCTTTCTACCTCATGTTTGGGAGGGTTCCCCGGTTGCCGGTCGATGTAGTTTTTCAGCACGTGCTGGAGGGTACCCCTGTTGTTGACCACCACGAGTTTATTGCGGCTTTGAGGCGTGACTTAGCTGAGGCATCGCGCATAGCCCTTCAGAACAGTAGGACAGCCCAGGCCCGTCAGACAGAAAACTACAATCGTAAAGTTAAAGGCACGCCCCTCGTCGTGGGAGATCAGGTTTTACTCGCAAACCGAGGAGAGAGAGGGAAGCGGAAAGTTGCGGACAAGTGGGTCTCAACGGTGTTTGACGTTGTTTCCGTGAGACCGGGCGTAAATGTCTATTCTATCAGAGACCCTGACACTCAGAAAGTCAAAACAGTACATAGAAATCTTTTACTTCCCGTCAGTTTTCTTTCATCCCACGTAGAAAGCACATGTGCGTCTAATTGCCCCTCATTAGTGAACGGAGAACCGGGAATTCCTGTTGAGGAACAGGACAGTGAGACTAGGACGATTAATTGGCTTCTGAACACTGAAAATGGTTCTTACCAGAATGAAGAAACGAGTCTAGTCAATGAGGAAACTGTGTCTGATCCGTTTGCTGAGTCTGACGGGGATTCCGTGGCGTCAGGTCCGTGCCAGAGCGCTTCTATCCGTGTAGAATCTAGTGGCGCGCTTTCTCAACTGTCACTGAGTGGTGGTGACCACGCCCTCCCAGAGGACCATTCAGAACTAGCTCCTGCGGATGCGATGACGTATGACGCTGCAGCTGACACGCAGCTGTTGCCTGTGCGTACTAGAGCGGGCCGATTGATTAACCCCCCTGCTCGTTTGATCTGCGAGATGAAGGAGCAGAGGGTAATGGAGAAGGACTCCTCACAGGTTGTGGGTCCTGTGTTTTCTTTTATGAGATTTTTTTTTCCAGACAGACTGCCCCGTTGGGCCCCGTTGTTTTTTTGTTAAATGTCTGTAGTGGTAGCTGTATATGAGTGAAAGGAGTGTAAATATAGGAACATTTTTAAGAGTATCGCTGCAGTACGAGGGGTGTAAACGGCACTCTTCATAACCCGCACGGGGTAGGGCTCTACTCTGTGCGATCCCTTGGGGTGGTCTTATACCGGTTTTGAGTTACTCTTGTGCGTTTTTTTTTTTCTCCTTTCTGTTTTTTTTTTGGTTGCGCTCCCTATTATGCAGAATTTTAGGGGGGTGTATGTAACAGGTGTTAAAGGTTGGTTAAAATCCTGATAATAGGATCGGTGCAATTGTGTTAGTACGTACCTGGCAGTGTATGTTAGCTCATGTATGTCTTTTATTTTGGTCGTCTGGCCCAACACTTGTCACTTCCGGTTTGCCGGTATTTAAGTCAGGCTCCGCCTCTTCCTCCTTTCTCTTTCCCCTGATGTCTAAGAGAAAGGTAGCTGGTTTTAATATCTAGAGGCATCGTGTATTTAAAATTAACATCTATGTAATTTCATCTTGTCTTTTTATGTTATTACGTTGTTTTAGTGTCATCCCTGTTATTATTTAGTACTTATGTGTTTTCTGTTTCCTCTGTTTTATGTTCTTAGGCCGTGTTGGGCACACACATGTTTGGGCTAACGCCATTTATTTTATATTCCTTCGCCAGGTATGTAATGTACATTTATGTTTGGCTCTCTTTCCCCTGATGTCTAAGAGAAAGGCCGTGTTGGGCACACACATGTTTGGGCTAACGCCATTTATTTTATATTCCTTCGCCAGGAAATAAAAGCGTTTTCTCTTCTCTGGGTTCAGAGCGGCGTTGCATCCCATCGCGAACCAACGGGGCTGAAAATTGCATCACCTACGCCAGGCGTCTACTGCAAGCCGCGGGGAGAATCCGGAGAGCTGCGCACGCCTGCATGGGCCGGCAGAGGGCGCGGGGTGGTGTCCCTCCTCCCGTTTCCTTTGAGTGGTGTGGGTATTTGTTTGCCCGAGGCAGGAGCTACGCCTCTAAGATGAACAATGTGTTTTTGGTCTGCCTAAGGGCTTACGGGACTTGTTTGATGAAGGATACGGTGGGGGTATGAACCAATGACGACATGATGCAACAATGTCACTGGTGAGCTGATAATATTTGTCTAGTTGAATTCATCCAGCTCTTCCGGCGAGCCGCCAGGCACCTGATTCGTCTCCACAAGCCAATGTTCCATGAACAGTCCGGAGTTTGAAACCGTGCAAATGTCACATTTATCGAAAAGGGTCCAAAGAGCCCCCGTTGTTTAGAGGATGGGTTCAATGTGTTGGGCCGCGATGAATGGGATGACTTGATGAAGGTTTATCTCCGCAAAATAATTTCCCATCGAGTGTATAGGGAGAAGTCCTTCGAGGTAAAGGGCAAGGCTTAGAAATTCGGGAAAGGAGGACTTAAAAAGGGAGGTCTGATGCCACACAAGGCCCGAAGCTATTGTACGGCTTTTGCGGAAACATTTGGCGCCGCCCGGTCTCCTCGTCCCCCTCCGCTGATTTCTACTCCACCGTCCCACAGCTAACGAGGCCTTATGATTTTTGGGTTACAGGTTAAACATTGCTGCAGGACACCGCCCCGCTAGCTGCCTTGCAGGCTTGGGAAATCCTCCGATATTCCTGGGGGGACGTCACCCCGTATTCATAAGACACTGTCCGTTACAAGAACTTTCTTACACATTCCGTCTAAGACTATCGTTAAGTGGGCGGCTCGGCGTTTCCAGGAGGTGCTGGACGAGTACCATTTAGAACAGAGCTCCAAGGGTAATCGGTGTAAGAACACAGTTACTGTGAATAAAAGGGATTTGCCGCTGAGGTGCCCCCCGGCGGCAACGTAACCGACCATTCTATTTTGAGAAACTCCTGCCGCCATGTTTAGAAAAGGTTTGTTCACAAACTCAAGATAGGCGCCCAGTTGGCTCGGAGACCGCGCGAGACACACGGTACCCAAGAGGGACGTTTGAACAGCATGCCGTGTGCGGTCTGCAAGATTGTCCTCACACCGCTACACCATTGTAGAAGCATAAACTGTGTTTTCGAGCACGCGCAGGCCACTCCAGCCGCGAATGTCCCCCGGCCGTTAACACTTGCGCCCTCCGGGCCTCAGGGATAAGAGCCAGTCGGGGGGGGGGGGGGGGGGGGGGGGGGGGGGGGGGGGGGGGGGGGGGGGGGGGGGGGGGGGGGGGGGGGGGGGGGGGGGGGGGGGGGGGGGGGGGGGGGGGGGGGGGGGGGGGGGGGGGGGGGGGGGGGGGGGGGGGGGGGGGGGGGGGGGGGGGGGGGGGGGGGGGTCGGGGGGGGGGGGGGGGGGGGGGGGGGGGGGGGGGGGGGGGGGGGGGGGGGGGGGGGGGGGGGGGGGGGGGGGGGGGGGGGGGGGGGGGGGGGGGGGGGGGGGGGGGGGGGGGGGGGGGGGGGAGGTGGGTGGTATAAATGTGTGGAGATAAGAAATATTTGTATGGGATGTAGGAGGCAAGGCCATGTGGGGGGTAGGGACATGGGCCGGTTAGGGGGGTGGTGGGGTGTGGTTGGGCAGACACCAGTTACATGTTCTGCAGAGACTTCAGAAACAGACGCGTATTTCACACGACGTTATCAGGACAAATTTGTTTTTGGGGGGTCTGTTTTGTCCTCAAGGCCCCTAGTGGACATGGGTCTATGGCCGTGCACTAGAGCGAACAGACTGATTAATGCTGCAGAGGGATGGTCCTGAGGGACAGAACGAGCGGACGATATGTCCATCGGGGGTGGCGGCGAGGTCAACCGTAATACCTACAGCTATGTAGGGAAGCACCTCTCTGTTTTGGGGTACGTGTGCAAAGTCATTGGTCCCAGTCCTAGTAGTTTCCGGGCCAGTCCGACAGCATGATCCCTGGGAGCAACGTTTTGAAATGGCTCATGAAGCAGAGCGTAAATGTGCCATGACGCGATAAAGGGCCTTTTGGCAAAGACTACCAAGCTGCTATCGCTCTTGTCCCATACAGGCACCGTACTGACGCTTCGCCTTGATTTTGGACTGCAAAGTTTAAAAAGGGGTGTTACGTGCAGCCTTTGACTGAGCATTTAGTGTGGCTAAGTTACCGTCTTAGACGCTTCGGCGGTAGGGAGCTCTGTTATCGTAATCCTACTCAGAGCTAAGACGAGTCAAGCCATGATCTAGGGGAGTGTTGGCACCACTCTGGATGCGATGGTTGGGCCCGTGAAAATGTCATGCCCAAGAAGAGAACACTTTACTGAAACAAAATATGGCCAAACTCGTGACTTTACCTCAGTTTGTCAGTACAGAATCTACCGAAGCCACAACGTGGTGCCCTCAACACCCACGCAACGATGGGAGACTCCGGTTTTCGAAAAACGAGGAAGAGAGTAAACAAGACACTATGGACATGGGACTCCCGAAGTTGACATCACTCTTGTGAGGTCAGTGGAGGGAAGAACTACTACTCAAGTCAGGTTCGAGCGTTACGACTCCCGTTCGCAAGGCACAGAGGATTGTGGAGAAGCGAAAGACTTTGTTACACAGAATCCTTGATGGATAACAAGCCGTTCAGACGTCCGTACAGCGTGTCCCTCCGTGCCATTACGAAAAAATTGGAGGACACTTTGACGAATGGAGGAAGTCGGATCTTCAAGAAGTCACAGAGGCGAGTATGCGTCCCTCTCGACCTCGTCGAGAACCCAAGGTGATTTACGCATCGGTAATGACTTTCGGGGGCTTAATGCATAACGATTAAAGATGCACACCCCTGGGCCCACCAGACTGATGCGCTCGCTGCGCTGGAGGCAATGTGTTCTTCTCCACCATGATCTCACCTCGGGGTTTTACTCGCCCCTACAACAGACGAACAAGCGGATCACCGCCTTCTCGTCCCCGTGCGGGCGGCAAAAAAAAAGCAAGCACTTTTTGACCATAGATGTCTTCATTTTATCTTGATGTTATTGTGCTTGTGTTTTTGTGTCTTGTAGTTACGTTCTGAATGTGACGAAACATCGGATGAGGACCATGAGCCTCCCAGGAATTGGAGCAGTACACTGCGTCAAATCAAGCAATTAAAATCTGAGAACAAAAGGCTCAAAGAAAGCAATTATAAACAAATTGTAGAAGCAATCAGGGGTAAGTTTAGTTGTTTTGTTTTGTATTTTTAGCAGGGGAAAAGTATTTTCATGTGAAAACAGGATCAACTTTATTGGAGCTCCAAGTAGCTAAAAAAATTTTTTCTAAAGATTCAGAATTCTAAAACTTGCACAAATTCACCATCTTATTTTATGTCACTTTTCTTAATTGCAACAGGCGTATGGCCATTTCTTTATGTCCTAAATGGGAACATTCCAAGACTGAGCGTTCCGTAGAACTCTGCCTCATTATTTTCTCATTCATACAGTATGATTACCTCTTCCTCTGTCCTAAGTAGTGCTAAACCACCACCGTAAATGACAAAGGTTTTTTCTCTGTTAGTGTTGCATTAGCTACCGTGTTAATCACTCCATTCAGAGTCCTGGGCTGCGTACTGGTCACAGAAATCCTCCTTTCATGTTAACAAACTCCTCACTAAAATCTGACGGGACTGTGTTAGTACCCTACACAGAGATGAAGATGAGCCAATTGTGCTGCTTGTATAGAGTAAAAAAAAATATGCAATTTTAATTTTTACAAAATCATTCAGCCCTAGTCCCAGGCCATGATCAATAACAATGATAATAATATATTAGTGATCAAGATATTTATTTATTTTTGATTAATAATTAATCTTAACTATAATTGTGTTGATTATATTCTTGTGAAAAAATCTAATGTGGCGTAAGCATTTTAAAGAAACATGTACTGAATGTTTCTGTTCTCTTTACAGACCTGCCAGCTGTTGTTCAAAACTTAAGACACATAACTGAGCAGCTTTCATCGTTCTCAAAGTCTTCCTCTGCTGAATCAACACCTGTGCGACTAGTGCGATCTGAACACTTGCCTGTATCCTCTCCTGCATCTCCTCAAGAGGAGTCTGTTGACATGGTAATATAGGAATGTTTACAAAATGTTCTTAATTTGGCTAGTGTAAAGCTCTTGGGGTAGATTATGGCTCATGTCACACAGTGCCAGATAATCAGTTGGTGGCACTCTTCCAATTAAAATACAAGACCATCTCATCGACAACCTGTTTTAAAACACATGCACGGTTGGAATGGAGGAATTGACTTTTCGAAGAACGAAATAGTTAAGGTGGGGTGGACTGTATGTAGGGTTAGCTCTTAGGGTTTAACAGTGGTGGATCGGTCAGAATGCAGGAGGGACGGAAGAGACTGGAGTCCAGGTTCACGTTCCAGCAGGGTTTAATCTGGCTGAAGTGAATGTATTTTACAAGTCTGTAACAACAGAACAATGTGGAAAAAAATTAGGTCTAACAAGTTTAGCAGAACAATCATACAAGGTAAATAATAAATAAATACATAAAAGTGATTATCTGGTCTACTGTAAAATGCTAATACCCTGAAAGGATAATAATTTACTTTTGAGGTGCAAGACAGCTGAAAATTCCATGATGGTACAGTAACTATGGTAACTGGCAAACTGCAGATTTCTTTGTCTTATTTTGTGGCTAATATCTCACTCATTACTGGGAAAATCCACATGAAACAGAAACTGTCTCAAAGTTTATTGTCTTCTCTGTCAGCACATATAAACTAATGTCCGATTATCTCTGAAAAGCATCCAAAAGTGGAGACAATATAAAAAAAAAGGGGGCGTGATGTTGGTCAAAACGACTTTAGAGTTGTATTGGCCCCTGCCCTCCACCTGACATTATGACATCATCACTTTGTAGAACATGAACGCCACCTATTGCAAATAACTTTGTTGTTTTACAGGTGTCTCTGGTGCCAGGCTCAGACGTCAAAGTCAACAAAATGAAGCTGAACTCTCTCCGAACTTCAAATTCGTCAGTTTATGTTGGAGACCTTGCTGTCCTAATCTTTGGCAGAGAAACGCTGGCTAGCTCAAGTCTGACCGGGAGACAGTCAGCAGCACATAAAGATGTGGAGTCCAAGCCGCAACTGGATGCTGCTAAATTGGATGCCATTGTTGGTGAGTATACTTACGTACTTTTAAATATTTAAATAAATTGTACGTTACACCGTTGCTTTATTCTCCATTGTTGTTTTGATGTACGTAGCACGAGCGGATAAGATAACACCAACACATAAATATTTTATCTTTCAGATAAAATATTTATGTGTTGGTACTTTGTGTCAAATGTTTGAAAAGCACTGGTCAAGATACCTTGTTCTGATCCTGTCTGTGGCCTCACTCATCCTGTGCTGCATATTTGCCAATCAATACGTTTTTCATCATCGGTGGGTGTACAGTTAGAGCATTATATGCTTACTTTTTATTAATTAATTATATCAAAATTAACTTATCTATTGTGATCAATCAAAATGTAAAAGTCTGCTTAATCTCATGTTCAAAAAAATGATTCACAGCAGTATTATTAATTCAGGTATGAACTGTTAAGATTTTGTGGTGTCAGAGTTCATCTAGGGGCGACAGTAGCTCAGTTGGTAGAGCATTGGCCTTAAGCCCAGGAGGTCGTGGGTTCAATTCCCACCTCTGCACCTTCTCCATTGACTCCCACTGATGACTGCTGTCGTTGTGTCCTTGGGCAAGACACTTAACCCCACTTTGCCCAAAGCCCCCACTGAAAGATCAAGGCTATGCTCACACTCAGAGAGCAGCCGTCCTCCTGTGGACTCACCACCTGCAGAGGGTCAGTGAGGGGCTGGTGCTATGAGACTTGGGTGGCATCTCTGACTGCCACCCCCCTGACCCAGAAATGGATTAAAGGGTAGAAAATGGATGGATGGAGTTCATCTAACTGTTCATATTTTTGTTTTTGTGTTCACAGGGTACGCTCGGTCGAGGTTTCCATCTTTGAGCGTTCAAGATATAAGAAAAATAATAAGAAAGAAGTGCAACAATGAAAACTTCAAAAAAGGATCAACGGCCAAGCAAGTGGATGCTACACAGAATTAAAATCCATATCTGTTTTTGTTATAATGTTCAATTTGTAAAATTCTCACTGTAGGTTGAATAAATTTAAACAAAATGACTTTGCTATGTTCTTCTTTTCTCAGCATAAAGGTGAAATGGGAAATAGTGGACTTGATTATTAAGAAGTACACTACAAGTACACTTAAAGATTACTTTAAGTATACTACGAAGTATACTTTGAAAGATAGAAGTATACTCAATTATATCAGAAGTACACTACAAGTACACTTAAAGATTACTTTAAGTATACTACAAAGTATACTTAGAAAGATAGAAGTATACTCAATTATATCAGAAGTACACTACAAGTACACTTAAAGATTACTTTAAGTATACTACGAAGTATACTTTTAAAGATAGAAGTATACTCAATTATATCATCAGAAGTACACTACAAGTACACTTAAAGATTACTTTAAGTATACTACAAAGTATACTTTTAAAGATAGAAGTATACTCAATTATATCATAAGTACACTTAAAGATTACTTTAAGTATACTACAAAGTATACTTTCAAAGATAAAAGTATACTTAATTATATGAGAAGTACACTACAAGTAAACTTAAAAGATTAGTTTGAAGTATACTTTTGGGTTACTTTAGAGTATACTTGAAGTATACTGCAAGTGGGCCAATTTAGTACCAAGGAGTATACTTGTAGTACAAGTATAAGTATACTTGGGCATATATACTTATATATACTAAAGTAAACTTGATATTATATACTTGAAGTATACTTCTTTTTGGTAAGGGATCCCAATTGCAGCCAAGTCTCTTCTCTGGGTTCAGAGCACCGTACACAACGCAGGGTCGCTATAGCACAGGTCACATATATATATATATATATATTATATCCTGTACACTGCACAGTATGTTTTGACTCCAATGCAGACAAGATTTACATGGGTTTCAATGGGAACTGAGTTGTCCCATCTCTGCTCATAAGTACAAACTGTAATGCGCTGCAGAACGTGTGTCTATACTTTATGTCAAATGTAAACGGCCCTGTGTCACTGACTTACCCCTGTGTTTTCATCACGGCACATGTGAGTCCAACAACCAATGAATAGCACTAGCATATAGCGCCGCACCGCAAGTACACTGAGTCGGGGTGCGTTCACAGACGGTGGAAACCGTAGGAATTTTTAGTTTTCGGCGGAAACAGTGCGGAGAATACAGGAGGGAGGAACTTTCTCTCGTTACGTTTCAAAAGAGAAAACAGATTTCACTCAGTTTTAAATGGAAAACAAATTGTCTGCCGTTCATGACACATAATATGAACTAATTCACGTTCAAGTTCTTTATTAAAAAATGTGTTGCGTTCAGTTCAACGTTCACGAAAAAATGAGCGTGTTCAATGAACGCGTTCTTATGAACTCGTTCACGCTCAACACTGGCTTTGGCCTGGGCCTTGCTCATTGGACCAGGCCACCAGGCAGGGTAGGAGTTTGCAAAGACCGTAAGGATGAAATTAAATTAAAAGAAAAAAAAAAAAAGACCGTGATGATAGGGCTGGCCCAGGCCACTTTGACACGCAGGCCACCGGGAGATATCTCCCGATGCTCCCGATGGCCAGTCCGGGCCAGGTCAAAGGCAGCACTCAGATCTAACAGGATTAGGATTGAGACTTTGCCTGCGTCAGTGTTCAGCCGGATATCATTTGTAACCTTGACGAGAGCAGTCTCAGTGCTGTGGTGGGGTCTAAAGCCGGACTGAAACGTATCAAATGAGTTGTTGATTATAAGAAATCTATTTAGCTGTTGGTAGACAACTTTTTCAAGGACTTTCCCCATAAATGGCAGATTTGAGATGGGATGATAGTTGTTAAGTACCGTAGCATCCAGACTGCTCTTTTTTAGCAGGGGCTTGATGACTGCAGTTTTCAGGGCCTTTGGGAATATTCCAGAATTAAGAGACATGTTTACTATCTGTGTGAGTGAAGGTAACAGACTGCTCAGAACAGACTTTAGAAATCTAGTGGGTAGTACATCCAGGCTGCATGTGGAGGAGCTCAAACTTGAGATTATCTCTTGGACAGTTTGATCATTTACAGGTGCAAAGTAAGTTAGCTCAGAATTAGGACAGCCAAAGGGACACGTGACCCACATGACAGAAGTGTGTGTCATACGTGTGTCGCCAAGTGATGAGAACTCTAGTCTAGACATTATTCCAAGACAAGGCGCAAGAGACCATGACAACAATGTTTCATCGTTTACGACTACAGAGATTTACATATTGTCATGGTGTAGGTTGGAGGAGGGAACAGAATTGGCAAATAATTAAATAAAGAGTTTTTTTACGGAAGAGTTGCTTTTCCACAACCCGTTTTCAATGAGAATATGTAAATAAGATAAGATTTGTGCAAAAGACAGAAGTGTGCAAACATGTTAAGGTTTAACATATAATCTGTGCTGGGTATGATTATGTACACTGGCAATAGCAGTGCAGGTTTTTCAGTCCTAGTGCATTATTGACTTAAAGTGACTTGTTGTACAGTCTGACAGCGGTGGGGATAAATTCCCTGTGGTAGCGCTCCCTCTTGCACTGAGGATGTTCCTCTACAATCCTGTGCAGTGGGAGGTGTTGTTCATGATGGAGGTGACTTTGACTAGCACCCTCCTGTCCCTCACCTCCTCCACAGAGTCCAGGGGGCAGCCCAGAGTGGAGCTGGCCCTCCTGTCCCGCTCTGTGCTGCCCGGGGACCAGCACACGGCAGCGTAGGGCCCCTCTGTGGTAGGGGCCCAACCACAGAGTCATAAAAGGGTCTGAGCAGAGGCCTGCTCACTCCGAAGGACCTCAGCCTCCTCAGAAGGAAGAGGGGACTTGGCCCTTCTTGTACAGGGCGTTGGTGTTATGGGACCAGTCCAGTTTAATGTGTTTATTGTTAATGTCCTCCCCCTGGATGTTCAGCGTGGTATGAAAATGAAAGGTCATTGTAAGTCACTGCCATGGAAATAGGGTTTTGCTAGCTTGGGTGGTAAGGACATTTTCCACCATAGACCTCATCGTTAACTAATGTGGCTCATCGTCAGTGACAGGGAACCTACAGCTTTTACAGCTTTATTTGTCATTATACATTCAAGTATAAACAAATTTATCAGACTGATGGTTCGAGCTGAACAGCTGGTTCAACCTGGAGGAAATGTACGTAATATACACAAACAGAAGAGTGGCAACAAGGTCGTAATGCAATATACACTATTGCTTTCCAGTTCTGCCCCAACCCTCTTGGACTCACTCCACTCCACCTCCAAAGATGCTTGATAGGGTTTAGGTTTAGACTTTAGAGGAAGTGGTGAGGTGGGAGTGAGTTGGGGCTGTTATTGTGTGGATACTGCATTAGGCACCGCTCCTGAAGGAAATGGGGATCTCTCCTTCAGTGTCACAGGCCTACATGTTGAACTTCAGGGTTCCTTCAAAGAACTGTGTCCATAAACTCAGTAATAGTGGGGATCAGTATCTCAGCAGAGGGGGTGTTATGGTCGACATGCACAGGTCAGTGTTCTGTGCTCAGAGCACTCTTCAAAAGCCCGTCACACCAACAGGAAACACGCTGCATCAGTCAGTGACTTATACACTGGAGGTTACCATCTACAGTTTATTATGCATCTTTACGTGAACATGGGAGGCCCTTTAAAACATGACATTGGTTTTATCCTTGTCTTTCAGGATTCACACTGAGATCATGCAAAGACCTTTCGGTGATGGAAAAGTAAGACTTGTAGCATATAATGCAAGTTGGATTCTTTATTCAACATTTCATAATGTTAGTATTGATTTATGCTGATTTGTATTTGTATTAGGGGGAAAATGATTGAATGAATGAATTGTACTTGTAATACGTAAATACAACATACATTATACATTCCTTATCTGCAATATCTAGTTACAACCGTGTGAATGCATTTTCCCGACACATTTGGAATGTATGTTTTACATTAAACGATTGACAATCATATTTTTATCTCTTTATAAATTATCCATTGCATTTGACATTTGACAATGTACACAATGTAAATCCATTTGACAATTGCATTGCATTTTGAATAAAGAGACCACAAATAGAATTGGGAGTAAACAATTCATAAAACAAGAAAAGACAGTATGTGTTTTTGTTTTTGAGGAAACCTTTTATTTTAACTAAGGTTTCTTTTTATTCGTCAATCAAACTTAGATCTTTTACAGTATATCTGTTATTTCTCCTCATATCATATATGCACCAAACACATTTTCTGTGGAATCATGATGAGAAACACGAGAAGTATCACTGACTTTGACAAAAATGGCATCATCTTTGTAGAAGTGAAAGACTCCAGCCAGAAAACTGTTAGAATGCGACGTTTTAACATTTGACGCCAGGAGAGTAATGCTCTGTTTCCCATAATGCCATTTTGTATTCAATTCAACAGAGTGACTAACAAATGTGACATCAATGAATGTGACTTTGGAGTAAACATAGTAAAATCCGTTTTCCTGGAATACAAGGCGGCCATCTTTGTATTTCACTTTGTAGAGGAACAGGTCCGGAACCTCACTCCAAGACATGATGTACTTATGATGAGCTTTGACATCAGGGCCGTCTGAAGAACAAGGACAAAATCACTTTTAACAACATGTTTTTATTGTAGCAAGAAAAAGCTGGAGTGAACCTGTGAGATGAGCCAGTGGTTTGAAAGGGGCTTCAAAGCGTTTGTCCCATTCAACAACTTTAGATCCAACTGTTGGAGCGTCTGGAACAGAGACGAGGCAGTTACAGAGAGCTCCTGTACGTGTATAAATGTGCGTCAGAAGTTGAGTTATAAGACGTACTTCCGATCATTTTTAAAGCTGAAGGCTGGGATGCTTCTCCCTGGGGAAAACAAATAACTTAAACAAAGGGTTCATTGATTCGTTTAGGAGAACTGAAACGGCCAGATTTGATCCACTTGAAGAATGCTAAAATACTGTTTCGGGGAATCTGGAAACTCTGCCAGTGGAATAATGGAAACAGGAAAAAAATATGTGCCCAAATGTAGAAGTACTTAACAATCAAAGTATATCTCAGTGCCAATGCTACTACTCTGATCATGCACTCATGAAGGTGGAAAAGTTCTTGACACCTGGGTTTTTCATTTCTGCTCATGGCCTAGAGTTTTTCTAGACCACTTCCTGCCTGAGCACACGGACTATTTGTGACGGTGGAACAGTTATTGAAGCTGAACTGAAGGAACTTTCCACTCGCTGAGAATCAACACGAATCAGCATCAGGGTTATAGAAATATCCCTCTCACGTTTCATTATCCAAAGCTTATATTTTATCTCTAAAATGTGTGTATTTTAAAACTAAAATAAAATAAGATACATTCAAATAGTTCACATTAATTCATTGAAAAATAAAAATATTAAAAATTAAAAAAACATTTTGACTGCCGAGTGCTTTCACTTAAGTCATGACAGTGCAGTGGTTTCTGGATGTGACTAAGCAAAAGTAAACCAGCTATGAAGCAAAACGAAACTATTTTTGAAGGTAAAAGCGCCCCCTCGTTCCCTCTCTCCGATTAATGTCAGTAAAAGCTGTTTAGTAAATGAATATCAAGATTATCCCAAAGACAAAATGTGGAAAAAATGCATAATCAAGCAAATAATTGAAAAGGAATCCATGTGACACTATAGAAGAAACTGGCGTGCCACCAATGGTACGCATACCACTGTTTGACAAACACTATCAATTGATGTCAAGTGGTTTATTTCAGAATAGGAACAACAAAAACATATCTCCATTTTGAAAAATTGTCATAAATTGCTTCTCATCGAGTTGCAATTTATAGCATGGTTTGTTAGCGGCAGTGAACATGAAAGATTTGGCGCAAGAAGGAGGGAACGTTTATTTGTATGGCACCATAATAGACTAAAACTACTTGTCTAATGGCTTTTTTGTGTTTTTTTCTGAATGTTTTACTCACGGGCGCAGGTTGGTAGAGGCGGTAGAGGCGGTGGATGAGCCAGGCTTCCACCAGCATGCCACAGAGGGCCACACTGACCAGGAGGAGCAGCAGCACCTGGGACGGGGCCAGCTGCCTGCGCCTGGTCCTAGTCCTGGGGGGCAGTGGAGGGGGGCCCGAGTCCACCGTGAAGACTGTGGGGGACTTTGCATACACCTCTGTCATGGTCTCGTCAGTTAGACAGCACAGAGACAACACAGGGAGAGCACAGGGGCCGCACAGAGAGAGCACAGGGGCCGCATGGGTGGGCCTGGCTGTGAGTGCGACACACGAAGAGGACGTCTTTCAACTTTGTAAAACCACATGTTCAAAACTAAAGGGCAAATGCTGCAAACAAAACATACATCAATAATTTTTCTCCTATCTTCTGTTATTCTTCATTTCTTTTGTGTGTGATTTTAATATTTGACACACACACACACACACGCACACACACACACTTTCTGAGAAGACTTACTTTAGTAATACTTTAGTTTTACTTTTCTGTAAGACCGAAAGTGGACGGATGGATGTTCAAGATTTGCAGAGGTGACATTTTACATAAAGCTGCAGAGCCTAAAGTTTTTTTTTTGGTTTCATTGATACTTTTTGTTTCTTCTTTTGTTTAAGTAACATTTTGCTTTCTTCATCTGATTATAAAACAAAAAACTATACATGTATACACACAACTATATAGTCCTTGCACTAGAATAAGCAGTATTTTCTACTTGCTTCTTCCTCACACCAAAGTTGGAGATTTTAGACTTATTTCTGTTTTATTCTAAATATAGAGATTTTGTACTGCTTACTTTTGTGCTAGAGTTAGCGCTTTTATTTTATGTTACTTTATCTTAGAGTCATTATTCATTTATCTTGTGTTGTGTGCTCCTCATTCCTACTGGTCTTTAACTCGTGATGCAACACTGAAATTTCCCCACTGTGGGACAAATAAAGGATCTCTTAATCTTGATCAAACTGAGAGCATACGTCAAAGACTGATGACTGTAGGATGGGACAGAAACCAAAAATACATGCATTTTTTGTGCTTTAAAAATACTTCTACTTTTTGCTTTCACTCCTTACTATCAAACCCATATACTCTCTACTTTATACGTTTTTAAATTACTCTTGCGGGCAGGGACTTCTCATAACCACCGTTTTGAAGTGGTTAGCCATGCTTCTAAGTTCAAAAAACCATTTGGCTTTTACATATTTTGTTTATTGTCTTATTCTGTACCAGTCTCCAATTAATATATATATTGTTTGTCAATGATTGAACATTTTACTGTACAGACAAAAGCTTATACATTCATACTTGGACTTAAAGGAGCAATATGTAAAAATAAAAATAAATCTGGTCAAAAAGGGGTACTGCACTCTCCCTGACTCAGGTTGCCAGATATGCAGACGAATCCAGCTGGGACCATGATAACTGAATAGACAACAACAAATCTATGACCAACACTTTTTTCACAAAGGTACAAATCCTCATTTTATTGTTTGCTTTGTCATGAATGATTTGAGAATCATAACAAGACCTCTCTCAGTGCAGCGGCCACATATACTTTACCAGTGAGATTAGCTCGACGCTGTGAGTTCAGGCAACCCGGATCATGGACTTTCTGATTGGTAAAACAGTGGAGGGCGGGACATCAAAAACAATAAAAAGATTTAGGGGTTGTACAGTAAGTCCAATTTTGAAATCCAAATATCTCGGCTGAACTACAGTTATAAGTTGAAGAAGTATTTGAAAAGAGCATGATTTATTAATGCCTTTTGACAGACCAGGGCAATTTAATGATGACTTTGACATGAAAACCTTACATATTGCTACTTTAAGTAATTTAGTACTACTGCTTTTCCCATCTCTGATCCTGCGGTAATAAATATTTAGTTTTTAATCGATGACTTTTTGGTTACTGGGGCTCCCTCTATAGTAAAAAACAGAACTGCAGTACAATGTGTGGGGACATTTCTCTGAGGATCCATATCTCTCTGGTCCATGTTAATGAACCATCATGTGACAGCTTTGTGCCTTTACCTCCCTGTCCCTATTGGTCAGCGCTCAGGTCCCTTAACTAGGAAGTGCTAATGTCAATGTCTTTGGAAAGTATTATGACAATTTGAATTAGTGGACAATGTTTACAGAAGCTTTTTTGCTGCTGCTGTTTTTCTTCATAGAGCAAACTGTGAGTCTGGGGGCAAAACAAGACATGGAATTTACATTTATATTACCTGCTGGTGCTTCTGAATGCTTCTATCAGCCTACATTGCGCGGGGACACGATGGAGTTTGAATACCAGGTACATTGTTTGGGACTCTTTTATAACTCTATAACAATACGTGAAATTGTTTTTGAACGTTTATTTTGAAAGCTGGTGGTGAGTTTTAGAGCAAGAATGTCCCTTATGAACTTTGGTCTAATGTTCAAACAGATAAGACTCGCACAGTTGAGGCTGGATACGCGTTTGAGGACTAAAAACAGCAAAATGTATATATTTTCTGTGTATATTTGATGGAATTTTTTTGTTTTTATTGTTTTATTATGTAAATGCATAGGCCTACATTATAGTAATCCATTTCAACAGGCTCCTGATATTGCTGCAGTGGTATTGAAGTCAAGGGGCATGCAAAATATATGATTTGTTTTCTTCTTTCTGCTATTTTTCATTTGTGTGACAAGACTACAATTATTTGAAATGTAATTGTATTGTGTGATGTATTGTCATGTCCACAGTTTAAATAAATAAATAAATAAATCAAAGTTAAAGAGCTCTGAAGAGGCCAAACTAGACGTGTTAAAACCAAAAATGAGAGGAGAAATCAAGGCGATATTTAAGGTTATATCAACAAGCATTTTGATCTTCTGCTTCTGTCGCCTTAATCTTATTTTCTCTGTTGTGGTCTCGAACAGAAGCTGCTCTTGTTGCTCATGGGGATTTCCTGTTTGAGCTCGGTCACTGTCTCTGCACGAGTTTCAGGACAGGAGCCGCAGCCTGTGTGCTTCTTTGAGTCATAGCTACAGTAAAAAAAAAAAAATGTATATAACCCCTTTTTGTCATTATAGCAGCAGCTTGTTTGTAACGTTCATATTTTCCACTCACGAGCTTTGGAGGGGCTTGTTCAGCTGTGGAAGTGAAGCAGAGAGGCTCCCCCAAAGTGCCATAAAGGGACTTGGGATGACTCTTGCAGATTCTTAATACAATCATGTTTTCTAATCAGACAGCGACTGCAGCTTTAACTTGTACTTTGGGAAACATTCACAGACATTAGAGGAAACACGTTAGTTATGCAGCTACGATTAGTTTATCATTGTGATGTTTCTTCTGTGTATTAGTACCTTTGCAAATGCTCACCCCTCTACTTGAGCCGCACGAAAATCGCTTGTATTTATGGCAAATAAAAGTATTATGATTTCAGTTTTGCAGTTTATTTGAACCCTTATTCAAGTGCACATAACAGAACAAGGAAGCACACAAAACATGATAAATAAGAATCATATTTTTTGTTAATATTGCTAAAGAATGTTAGTTGAAGTATAGAAACTATTGGAATATGTACATATCTTAAAAAGATCCACAAATGGGTATATACGGTCACACATTCTGACTCTCTTAACACAAGATTTCCCATTGGGACAAAGTTATTTCGTCTTATTTCAAGAACTGTTGCTTTATTTTCTCATTCCAAAGGAGACATTTCTTTTTAAAACAAGATTTTTTCATTAATATTCAAAGTTGCAATATGTCAAGTCATCATTAAAATGCCCCAATCTGTCAAAAGGCACAGAACATGCTCTTTTCATATGCTTCTTTAAACGATAACAGCAGGTCAGACAAGATATTTGAATTTCAAAATTAGTTTTACGGCCCCTAAATCTTATTGTTTTCATTTTGATGTCCCGCCCTCCACCGTTTTACCAATCAGAAAGTCCGTGATCCGGGGTGTCAGAACTCACCACGTCAAGCTAATCTCACTGGTAAAGTAACATGTGGCCGCAGAACTAAAAAAAAGGTCTCGTTATGATTCTCAAATCATTAATGACAAAACAAGCAAGAAAATGAGGATTTCTATCTTTGTGAAAATTGTGTTGGTTATAGATTTGTTGTTGACAAAACTCTTCATTCAGGTTTTATGGTCCCAGATGGATACGTCTGTGTATCTGGCAACCTGTGTCAGGGAAAGTGCAGTACCACTTTTGGCCAGATTTTTACATACTGCTCCTTTAATTTTGCCAAATTTGAGTAACTTTTGTCTTATTTTTCATTTGTGCAGTGCACACAGGATATTTGTATTCAATGGTTGTAATTGGTCATTCTTTTTTAGGCTTTTTGAGATTGAAACTTTTGCTGCTTTTGACTCTTTTCTTTGGCAGAAGAACCGATCCTTTGATTATAAAGATTACCGACCCCTGCTCCAAACTAAAACTGTAGACGATGATGACAATATAAACTGGCTCTGATCTTTCTTAGTTTTGTTCATGCATCGTAAATGCTTATTTGAACGGTTCTTTTCCAAACAGGTAATTGCTGGGTCGGGCCTAGACGTTGGCTTCTCCATGATCTCCCCCAGTGGACAGCAGCTGGTCTCAGGCTTCAGGAAATCTGACGGTATCCACATGTGCGTCTATGTTTACGTTAGAAAACTCCAAAATCAGTGTTTGTTGACACTCACAGCCGCTTGTGCAGGGTGGATCCCACAGAAGACGGGGACTACAGCATATGCTTCGATAACAGCTTCAGTAAAATGTCCCTGAAGATGGTGTTCTTTGGGGTGGTGCTCAATGCCCAGAGTGGGACCAGATCAGAGTGGGACACAGTGGACCAAGAGGACAGTCTGCTGGACTACACACTCGGGGACATCAGGGTGAGTGACTGACAACTGTGGGAGCATCTTTCACCTTTACACAATCCACACTGGCAATCATTAAAGCTGGGGTACCTGACTTTTAACCCCTGTGCTGTACATGACCCGCCACAGAGATTAAAAGTAGAAGAGAAATACGCTAAATTAGGGTCTAAAATGAACCAGGGCTGGTCAAGTTAGGGAAAATCATCAAGATTCAGCTTGAAAAATAAATATTCAGGGTATTTTTTGAATCACTGTGGCGGGTCAATTTGACACATCTACCTGCCTCCTCCATATCAAAACAGTTCAGTACTTTTCACATGAACTGTATTTTTGGCCTCTGTCATATCTTTTGATAATTGTTTTAAAGCAGCAAAGTTAAAGTACAATTATACAAAAGTGTTTCAATAAGATAGCATGGACTAATGTGCTCACAATGTTGCTTTTACAAAGACGGATAAACAAAACACATTGTGCAAACAGAAATTGTTGTACCCCAGTTTTAAATTTGTGTTGTTTTTAACATTTGAACCTGGATATGGAGCTCTACAAACTAAAATGAGACAACTAACTGAATGAAGTCTACAAAAAATAGTCATTATTTTGGAACAGACAGCTCAGTACAGACCCCCAAACACAGCAGGCACTGATAAAGGAGGCTTATGATTAAAAGAAATACACCAAAGTCCAGATGTGGCGCTCTTCATCCCAACTGTTTCTGTAAGAATCTCCCATTGAGACATCGAGATTTCTTATGTTAGTTTCTTATGTTATTTCTTATGAATTATATTCACAATCCTGAGTCTGCATTACAACAACAAAATGGAGAGGAATGGCACTGGCAAAGATTTTGTATAGATTGTAATAACGGTTAAAAAAAAAAAAAGAAAAAAAGGCTAATCCTAAAAACAAAAATTACCTTTAAACTAATGTTCCCCATAGATGGAAACCTTGGAGGACCTAAATAAAAGCCACCCCCAAACCAGTATTTTTGTTACACTGAGACTCTGACCAAAGTGAGTTCAATAACCCTGGTCTCTGGTGTCAATAGCGCAGTGACCATGGATCTATGGTAGTGACCGAGGCTGAGTTACTGATTTTTCGCTTGTGTTCTCCATTTATAGTTCTCAAATCCTGAAAAGATCAATGCCTCTTTATTACAAACTCTTCTGTTTTTCCCTCTGCCTCTGATCTCTCCCTCAGCTGCGTCTGGAGACCATGCACAGAGACCTGGAGCGGACGCGGCAGGTGCAGGCAGCTCTCCGGGCGTTCGAGGCCAGGGATCGATACGTCTTGGAGGATAACTTGTGGAGAGTGTCCTTCTGGTCCTGCCTGACGCTGCTGCTGATGCTGACGGTGGCATCAGCACAGATACACACTCTGAAGAAACTTTTTGACGAGAAAAAGAAAGTGACCACAAGGGCTTAGGAAGACTTTTAAAGACATGCAGAAATTGTTGAATGTTTGTATTTGAGAAGAGGCTGTTGTGGAGTTATTTATAAACCAAAATGAATTACATTTGTAGTGCGAAGATTTGTTAGAATCTAAATGAGTCTGCAGTTTAACAAAATACCTACCAAGATAATGTTAAAATGTTTAAACCGAAAACCCTTCATGGTAATCTAAAGTCCTATTGATTTTATTTATAACAGTGAGACACAATTACATCGTATCAGTCGTATCAATCAGTACATTGTTCAAATCTTTTCACCTGTAGCCGAACAGATGTGAATAAAAATCCCTTTATTTACAAATTTTCCCAAAAGCAAATATTGGCTTTCTATACAAGTTTTGACATTTACATTTGCTTTGGCAAAACTAGGGAGCAAAAATGTCTAGTTTGTCTTGTGGGATTAAAATATGTTAGCAGCTACGAGTGTCATTCCAAACATTAGAGAATTTGTCATTTTGATCATTATCCGGTGTCATCCTGATGCAGGGTCCAGTGTGCAGTGGTCAGTCGTTACCACTGGGGGCGACGTGGAGCAGGAGGAGGGCGCCTGTTCAGAACAAGCCAACATTAATGCGAGATCCATCGCTGTATTTTAATATATTTCATTCTATTATTGTTCTAGGGCGAGATCATAGAATCTTCTCCTACAATCTAAGTGTGAGACTACTGTGCTTCTTGGGCGCATTCACACTTGGATCAATAAAAGTCTCTGGTGCACATTTGGATAACGGCCTACTGTACTGTGTGAAAAGTACCAGATGCAGCTTGGTCCAGTCACTTTGAAACAGTGATGTCATGAGGACTGTTGCATTTTCTTTGTGAACCAAGTGTGAACACGCCCTTATGAAAGAAAGGCAGGGATTAGTACCAAAGGTTTAAGGTCAGAGCTACACAATGGCTGCATCCAAATTCAACAACACAATCCCTTTCTTGTGATTTAGAATTTATCTTTTATGAGATGGGGCAGCTGCAGGTTTGGTCAAATTTATTTCTTATGAACCCTAACACCTTTTAAAGACGTTTTTATGCAACAGAGGTAAAAAATAAAATAAAAAAGACAAGAAAATCAATTAATAAGATATGTTTTTTTGTTGAATTTGGATGGAGGAAAGGCATAGAGCACTAGAGAAGGTTCCCAATGCTACACTCACCAATAAAAAGATATCCCACCAACGTAAACAATACTTTGCGTTACAAGATTTTAGATGCAATTGTGATATACATTATTTACAGATTTGCTTGAAATGGTTATTGGTGGTTGAGTAATAAACAAAACTATTGAACATGTGTTTTGCCGCTTGCGCAATTTAAACAGCAAGAGATCATCAAAAGATCTGAGCTTAAACAATAACAGCAGATTCAACCTTTCAGCTACATTCACCAATTACACCATCTGCATGTACAGATGGTAAAACTGATTCCTAAAAACATGAAATAATCCCATCAGTTATTGAATTGCAAGAAGATATAGTAGGAAAGATGGATAAACACAACATAACCCTAATGACAAATTCATAATAGTATTAGCGTGTATAAATATATATATATATATATATATATGATAAAAGCAGCCACTAATAATAAAACAACAAAAGACTTGTTTTGACATTGTTTTGACTGCTGCCTGTGATGCTGCACGGTTTCAAGAAATGTTTAGATGCAACAGATGAAAAAAAAATGCACTAAAAAGCAAAGAGCACAGACGACAAAGTTCACACAGGGAGACACCAGCCACCAGAAGCCAGCTTTTTATTATTCACAACACCCTTTATTTCACGTTCACTCTCCGCTTTCCAAATCAGGTCAAATCAGTTCATTGCTACAGAGGCACTTGGCAAAATAATAAAGGGCTTTCTTGAAAACAAACAATAATAGTGGAGAGTGAAGTGGGTAGAGACACACACTTTGGAGGAAAATGCTACAATATCACAGAGAATTTACAGTTTTCAGAGTTTCTGGTTAACGTGACAGTTTGTCAAAAAAAATCCAATTTCAAATACCGGCGTGTTGCGAGGTGCATAATTCATGAATGCAGTGGGATTTTTTGAAGGGTCGACTTTGTGAGCTGTCACTGTAACCCAAAACTGTGCACTTAAATCAAAAGTATATTCTGTCAAAAGCCCAGGTCTCTATAATGTGACATATCATCTCTCAGGCTAATATAAAAGGCTTTTTAAGACAGAATATGCTTTTTAGTACAAAATCTCCCACCACCATCACCCTGACTACTGATTAAATGAAAAAAAAGCAACATCATATTATTAACCCAATGGCACTTCCCCTTTCCACCCACTTCATAAAATCGAACAGAAAATACATTATGTTACTAATATCGATGCTTTAATTATTGCCCAATCCTCAAAAGACATTACAAAACGCCAAAAGAGTTGAGCAGATATGTAAATGCCCGGCTGATAAATAGTGATTTGAAAGATCATACACCAATTTATGTGTGTTAGTGCAAGCTTTATGCTGTTATACATGTTTAGCTTGGGGCAAAAAATATCGCTATGCAAGAAAGACAATGTAAAGGTAGGTCGGCTATGTAAAAAGGCAAAAGCATGCTGATTTTCTCGCTCCGCTGTTTTGTTAAACTTGAGAATGAAGGAATGAACAAAGTTATTATAAATGCTAAATGTCTTTTTGGGGTTGCAATCACATCCAGAAAAGCTTTCTTTTTTGAACGGCGATGATGAGGAGAAGGCTTAGGTTGCGTTTTTTTTACGCACATACGCCGGGTTTTGCTAAATACGAGTCGGGTGCACTTCTGTAAGACTTGTGAAAGAGATTTTTATTTATAAAAGGTGCAGTGTACTGGTGGGCGAGACAAATGAATATCGAAATAATATATTTGGAGTATTTTGTTAAAAATATTCTGACGATAAAGTGGAAATCTGTTGTTGCTGTTGTAGTTTTGCCAGTAAAGGAAAACCACGTGGATTTGAACTCCATATGCATGCTTTAAAGATTAAAATTTACACATTTTTTTTGTAATCAGGTGTTTGGCAGTTCTTCATTGTATTGTATAATCTATTTTGCCCACCTCACGGTTACACTGACCACATGGTACCACTACACAATCCGTGAGCTGTGTATTGTTCCTGGACACGGCAGCGGTTTTCATGTAATTAGATAAATAGTTATTGTGTGGACCCAAAGAAAACGGCGCTGCTTTGGTCAAATACACGAGCGATGCACCCTTAGCACTTGTACTGAGAGTCAACCCGGCGTAGTCTCGTCACCCTGAAGTGCTTGCATTCATTTGAACTCTCCTAGTAAACAAAAAAACCAAAAAGTTTCTCTGTCTCTTAAAACGTGAAAAATTATGACTTGTGTGTGATTTTTTTTTTCTTTTTCTTTTTGTAAAGCTACATCATTAAAAGTCACTCAAATAAAATATAAGAACAAGATATTGCAAAATAACAGTCACAATTATGTACTGAAGGTTCCATCACGGGATATAGTGTTTAGGGGTGAGAAATGATAGGAGCGGTGGGGTGGGGTGGCGGGGGCTGGCGGAGAGGTTTTTTGGAAAGGCTAAACATCGGATGCAAGTAGAAAGTAGACAGAGTATTAAAAAGTATTGTCCACAGCAAAATTGTTCAAGTGGTTGTAAGGCGTTTTCATTATTGTAGACGCTCAAAAGGTGCCCAGTGTGACTTGTCTGGATGGAGCGCTTGTCTGCAGATGTTAAGATTATAGTGGTGCACATATGGCATTAATCTGTTCCCATGGAGACGTTGGATCAGCGTTGTGGGGGTAATAAATTATGGACACGTTTAATGCCACATTGTACGACATTAACAAGAAAGCAATAACATCCACATAAAAGGCGAGCAGGTGGGCAAGCTCCCCCAGCCGCAAAAAAAAGTCACCGTGGGCATCTTTTGAAGTTTAGCAGCTTATTAACATTGCTTTGATCAGACTCTGGATGATGTGCTGATATGAAATGGCTTTAGCCTTTCCCCCTCGCGTGCCATGTACAGGCCGAGAAAGTGTGCAGAGGAACACAAGAGGAAGCACAGAGGCTCCCAAACCCAACACCACAAGACGGGGCCCGGACACAGGTCTAGTCTAGCAGGGAGGGCTCAGCGGGGCGGATTATGGTGGGCCGGTGAGAAGGAGCACCCGGAGGTCTTCGACTGCAACAAGGACAGAAGATAGAAGAGTGAGAGACAGAGACACCAAACAACCCAATAGATAGAAGAGGAGACAGAAGGTTGGATTCACGTTTGGAATGATGGTGATCAATGTCATAAGGAGAACAAGAGGCATTTTGGTACAGAGCACCCAACAAAAAGTCTAAACTACTTTTTGTTCGTCAAATAACATGCCATACTAATCTTATGGTTTATAATCCATTTTCAAAAGTAATCGATTATAATTAGTCAGCTTTCTGATGTAAAGTAAAGACATTATGTTCCCTCTCGTGGCCACTGCTGATTACAAATGTTCAGATTCTGATGTGGCATCACAGGCCTGAATTTGAAGTATACCAATACGTCTTTCTTTGTATCTATATATTTCTTCCTTAGAATCTATTAACCCTAACCCTTGGGTCAAAATGACCCAGGGCAGATCAAGTTAGTTAAAATCATCATAATCCAGCTCGATTCTTTTTTCTAAGGGTATTTTTGAATCAATGTGGCGAGTCTATTTGAAGGGTTAAGAGGAAATACTTTCAGTCTTTGTTCTGACTGATGACAAAGAACCACATGCTAGTTTTTGTTTCATGACAATGTCTCTAGTTTTCACATATTCACCATATTTACCAGGTCAAAAAGAATCAACATTTTGGATCTCCTAATTGTCATTGAAACCTTATAAACTGTTTTGAACTAATGGCGATGAATTAAATGATAATTAAGATAAGATTTCTTGATAAACTTAGATTTAAAATGCCTTTTTCTGTGATTGAACTCTTTGATTCTCTGATTTGTGTTGGTGAATCGACAACTTTGAAAAGTCCTCAGAGATGACTACTGTTGTGATTTAGGGCTTTAAAAAAAAAATCAATAGAATAGAATTGGATTAAAATGGTACAAAATGCCTTTATAGCCTGTATTCCCTCTAACTCTAAATGCTGCTGACTTGACACATTCAAGTTATAATAATTGTGAAATCTATAGTGGAAAACAAACAAAAAATAATCCAATGAATGAGATTTGAGCCATAGAAATGAGATTTAAGTAATGAGGAACTAAAATGACTAATCTTTGTTAAATATTTGTTTCCTGTGATGATCCTCAAAGTCTCATTAATACAATTGACAGAATGAGAATTTCTGTGACTAGATTGAAAAGTTTTATGAAGGATTTACGTGAACCCGACCTACAGGAAACTCAGAAAGGAAAAGATTCTAAACCAGTTACATGAGGAAAACGACACCAGTGATAGAAAGAAAAGTGGACACAATTTCTGTGGCTACTTGTTTCTGAGGTACCTGGGCACGCCTGGGGGCACGCGGGCAGGTCTGGAGGGGATCTGTGGGGGGGCGCTGAAGGGGTCGAAGGCATTCATGGGCTGGCCGGGGCGGGACGGGATGGGGGGCGCTCCGAAAGCTGGCGAGGGGTTCAGAGGAGCCCCGAACGGAGGAGAGGGGTTTGGGGGAGGACCAGGAGTTGGACCCCGGACTCCAGGAGGCCGACTGGGGGGAGCCGTGGAGACGGGAGGCGGCCTGCGCTGAGGCGTGGGACTGGAAGACAACAGAAATGATGAACTTTCTAATAGAGAGTTGACTATAAATTGTTACTATAGTCCAGGCCAACTACTTGATTTTGACCCCAAAACGAATCTTTTTGATTGTTCTTTGTTTTTCACCACTTCTCTGAGGCATCCAGAACAAAACTAAAGCTTCTTTTATCAAGTCAATATTTTCTGCAAATACAGCTAGATAAGTACACCTGGATAAGCCTCTTTTTCTTACTTTTACTCTTATCAAAATTAAAATTGACACACTGGGATAAAGTCAAAATAAACAGCACCCATATAAGGCTTATAATTTTTCCTTAACTTCTATGACAATACAATTTGACGAGTTGAAAGTGAGCATGAAAAGCACCAAACCTTTTTTGTATTACAAGTTTGTTTGAATATTAATTTGATTATACAATGACAATTTTTTGCATATTTGCACTTAGAAACTTGGAAGTAATTATAGGGAATTTTAGTCTGCTGGACCTACCCCACCTTATAGAAATGATCTATGGTGAAAAAGAAGGAAAATAATTTCTAAAAAGAGGTTCCTAGAAACATTTTTATTCACACTATGCTATAAAACGACAAGTTTTATAGCATAGACAATTCCTAATTCATTTTAGAAGAATATTTCAATCTAACCTGAAAAATCTAAATATGTAAAATGTTTAATATATGATGAAGCCAACGATTAAAAAACGTCTAAAATGCACCTCTGAGTTGCATACTGAAAATTACATGGAACAAAGTCAAAAGCGTTAAACTAAGCCACAGATTAATGTCATGTTTGATTTTAGATATTATGATGAAAGAATATTTAAAACCAAAATTTTACAGTCGTCTTTTCATGTAGTCATGATTTTACCATTACCATCAGAATGCGTCTTCTCCTAAATAAAATGCAAAAACAAAAAGTATACATCCAACAGCCCTCGTTCTCGCCGGGTTCTTCAAACTAACCGGATATTGACTATGACTAAATAATTATATGACTCAATGCGTGCCAAAACTAATTTCCAGGAAGCAAACATGTCTGGCCAAAAGTCACCTTGATCCCAGTTATACAGTAACAACAGTTCAAAGTGCTTGGTACCTGGAGTTCTGCATCCAGCCATCGTTGACGGGCGGGGGTATCGGCGTGGAGATGGTGGTGGCGCTGATGTCTCCGATGATGGTGAGCGCCTCCTTCAGGGCGTGGTACATCCGCAGCATCTCGTCTCTGCGCTGGGCCTGGTCCGCAGACTCCTCCATCAGGCTGTTCTGGTCCCCGCTGGAGTAGAGGTAGGCCAGCAGCTCCGAGTGGATAAAGTCCTTAGACTAATAAACAAAAACAGGTCCATTATATCATTGTACATTATACTAACCCTAAACCAATTTATCTTGTTGTGCTCTTCGTGTTTAATGGAAGAAAAGTGAAGGATTAAATGCTGGGGGACCCAATCTTCTAACCACAACTGTGAAACATTGTAGTAAAAATCCATGTAACTAGTTCTAAAAAGGTTTGGTTCAATCACTCGTTTTCAGATTCATGACTTTTTGGCCACTGTCACATCCTAAGATCAGCTTTTTCAGACAGAAATGTTAAAAAGAGAGGGCCGTCTTCACTCAGATAAATCAGCTCAAAGCATTAAGTAATGACCCAGAAGTTAAGACTACACTTAATAAGCAATTTTTAGTGACTACAGACAAAATAGGAGCAATAACAAAATCTAATAATTTTAAGTAAGTAAAATGGCGGAGCTGGAGAAAATGATCCAAACGGTTCTAATGTAAACTAAATAAGTAGTTCCTTACATTGTTAATCATGAGGTGCATGATGGTTTTGGGCAGGAGGTCGCGGATGGATTTGTTTATGATGCCAATATACGAGTCCACAAGATTACGGATCGTCTCCACCTGTCGCTCCAACTGGGGATCCATAGAAAATGTGTCCGCAGGAGCCGATTCTTCAACCTCTGACTGAAAAGCAACAAACAATATTCAACTATACATTTGCAACCTTAAAATTCAGCACAGTATTGGTAATTACGTTTTCTACTTTCTTTACTTTACTAAATATTCACTCCTTACTTTAAAATCCAAATATCTGAACTTTCTACTCCGGACATTATGAAGTTACTTTGCAGGTGACAACACAACATAAATAAGGTTAAAGTAGTTAGCCATGCTTCTAGGTAAATTCAGATAACCACCTGGCATAAGTTTTACATGTTTTGTTTGTCATACTCTTTGCCAGAATGTAAAAAAAAAAAAAAAAACTACAACACTATTATAGTCTAACAAGGTTAATCTGGTATTTTGATGGGTTCTACAAGTTAGCGTAATTATTTTTGGCGATCACTCTGAAGATGCACTCCACAAGTCGAAACTGTCAGGTATAAAAAAAATCATTCAAAGAATCAACTCGAAGGACAACAGTGTAATGTTTAATTCTTGATATGAGAACATTGTCAGATGCATACAGTTCAATATACAAAGCTGAATATGGAGAAAGCCCACTCATACCTGGTCCTTCTCTGGGTAAACTCCAGCCCTGAGGAAAGAGGCTTTCCAGCTGTCCACGTCCTCTTGAGACTCACAGGCTAACTCAATCTGACGAAGGTCCTTGTATACATTTCTGCACAAACCAACAGAACATCATTTCGATGTATAATCATTTCTGGTTATGTATTCCAAAAATGAGTACATGTATGGCGCCCCTTATGTGTATCATATTAATTACACATTTGAAATCTTGTATTTCAATAGAGTTAAGTAAAAACAAAAAATGGTGGATGGTGAAAATGAGAATGTTGTGGCTTGGAAAGACCCATTGGATCACTAAAAAATGTATGACTCACTCTAAAAACAACTTCCAGTGAATAAATGTTGTGCACTGTGTCTGCTTTAACATCCAAAATAACATTGAACTTGTAGTCTACGCATAACTGATGTGTTACTGAGAATACCAACCTCTGCTCTGTGTTGAAAATGGCAAAGACGTGTTTGGTGGACATAAAGCCTTTCTCTACATCTCTGAGCTTCAGGTTGTCCAGAGGAAGCATGTATTTCTTTTCTTTTTCCTACAGCGGAGCATACAGACAGACTTATAAAAGTGTAACCATTGTGTACAGTTAAATGCAAGTGAATGACTAAGTTGAGTTACGCCATTTGTTTTCATTGTGATCCGTTCCACACTTGGGATGGCTAGAGGAGTTTTGGGGGGGAGGGCTTTGTAGAAAAATGGGGTGCCAACTCTTTCTGTTGAGCAAAGACATCTGGAAGCATTTACCCTCGAACTAACAAAGCGGCGGAGACCAGAGTTACATCACTGATCCCCCACCCCCATCACATGCAAAGGCCACGCTTTACACGCTTTACAAACAAACAGCCTGTATATAGACTTATTGACCAACTTCGACACATTGAAACACTACTTCCAACCAAAATGAGGTGTCATAAAATTTCAAAATAATTGATTTGCTTTTAGACATGGTGCACAGTCACACCGCCCCCTCCAGCCCCCGTAACCCAGTACGATTTCCTGCAAATTCCAAAGTCAGATCCCGGCTGGAACATTTCAGCCCGCCTGCCACGTCAGTTCGCCTCTACCATCCTCCCCTCGCAGGATCGCCCGCTTCTTGGCTCTCTGCACGCGCTGCTTCAGCGTAGAGTTGGACTTTACGGACATTCTGCTTTGCAAGATGAACCTTTTATTTTATTGCCTTGTTTTTTTTCCACAGAATTCACTGTTTTGATGGGTGACTTTATGGCGCAGAGGTATAAACTGGGTAAGTGCTACACTATAGTCTGGAACAATTAAGCAAACATTAGGCACAACAATATTTCTCCATAGTGAATTGATAATTTGTATTGGGTTTAATCTGTGGCTGATGTTTTTATAAAAATATCAGCATTATGGCCGATGTAGCTTTAGATATAGCCTGTACTTTTGCTCATTAGGACTCAAGAAATACATTATAGATATATTTTTTAACAATGAGGTCTTTGGTAGATGTTAATATTTGATGTATTTGACCGCTGGTGTTTGCTTTTGCCAACTGTCCTAGGTGCAAGCCACAGTGACCTCCAGGTCCTTCCCCCCGTGCTGCCCCCCCGCCTGCCCAGTGTTCAGACTACCTGTTCCTGGGCCCAAAGCCGAACAGTAGTCTGCACATTGGTTAGGCTGGGCCGGGACTCACCTCCTCGTCTTTGTACCAGGACAGCGACTCCGCGGTCAACACGAACCAGTACTCTTTGGAGCCTCCTTTCATGATGCTGATGTTGATGGTCAGCCAGCCTTTCCGGATCACCTGGAGGAGCAGGGACAAAGGCGCAGCAAGATACAAGACAAAAGAAGTGGTTTTAAACTTAACTTTCGACATCTGGTTATGATTAGAGCAGGATGCAATCATTCATACTTACCTTTGAGCTAAAACTACAGATAAATTATCTTGCTAAATTAGTATTGTATTCCACTTCTTTCTACGGTGTTGCTATATGTTTATATGATTTTGATTCATGCATAGATCAATAATGTGTGCCAATGGATTTATGTAGACAAAAGCATTCAGATCTCCAGCAAAGTGGACGGAGGATGTTGGTGTTTGCTTTAATTTAAAAGAATTTCCTAAAATAACAAACAGGAGCAGATGGAGTCCAGACCATGCAACTACAAAAATCAAGGTTCAAGGGTCAAAGGGGGGTATGTTAAGAGTTAGTGGGTCAGTAAAATGGCAGCTAGGACACAACATTGTTATTTTGTTACTGGATTCACACAAGCTGTTAATATCATGTTAATTGGGGGAAAAAAATTGGTTATGAAAGATTAGGAGGTGAAAGGAACTGCGGCAGACATTTATTCAAGCCACAAGACTTGGGCTGGGTAGAAGATAAAATGAGATGAACATAGAATTAGGTTGGGATGCAACTTTGAATCCAAGAGTGGAGAGGTTAACCGCAGACTCATGCAAATATACTTTTTTTGTGAGCAGCGGTCTCGAAGCTAGTACTGCCGTTAGCATGCTTTTGGTTTCTCCTTTCCACTCTGTGCATTCAGAATGTCACTACAACTATGCATTAGATAACAAGCAGCAACATAAAACATAGAGGAGGGGGACGGACAAAGGAGCTCAATAGTTTGCCTCTGTGAGGAATTTATCATTTGTATTTGAATGTGTTGCTTTTGTTTACACGTTATACCTTTTCTTTAATGTTATTAAAGAAAGAAACATGCACAATGAGTTGTTTTTAATTTGGAAAAGACCAGTCACCATGTTTAAGAAAGATTAGTTCTAAATAATGGACCAAGAGATCAACAATACCAAAAGTTTGTTGCCGTTTCCCATTTTAGTGGAAATTTACATGCTTGAATATATTAATGAGAGATGATCAAAGTAATGAATAATCTATAGACGCTAACCCAGATTTTCCTTTCCTTGATGATTCTCACAAGTCAAACCTAAGGCAGCTGTGCACAAGGCAGAGGTACGACACTACAAGAACTGATGTCACCCATATGTTTTTACATAGCATCTCAGCATCATTGTTATTTACTGAGAAAATACTGCCAAAATGTCTGCTAGGATGTTTTGTGTTAGTAACTAAGTGCTCAATTATGTGCAATTATGCATAATTACTGTCAAATTGAGTTAAAACTGCCAACGGACCCAAATTACTGAAAAATGTGTCAGCGGTCATACAGACAGTACCTTCACTGGCAGAACCTCTCCAAATTCACCGAGCTGCGGGGGGTAAAAACCATGACCATATTTGTACCGGGGAGTGCTCATCCAACGCACACGCCTCAGAGGGTTCGTATATGTGTGATGATGTCAGTTCTTTGTTCTGGTCTACCCCTGCTGCCCATGCACATAGCTGGGTTTTAAATCTGTAGGGTACTTACCAGAATTTCACCCTGGAGTAACAAAAAGGTTGGGGGGGTGGGGTTAAAGCAAAGAGGGTAGGGAAAATCATAGCAAAAAGGAATGATAAAGCGAGCCAGCAATGGTTTTTGGATAAAAAAAGATGGGAAGATGGAGGAGGAGTCGAACACAATGGATATGGCCCGTGCAATAAATGTTACAGGAAACATTCATTGACGGAAGATGCCATATGAAAAACAGAGTAGTACAGGTGAAGAGAGAAAGAGGGGACAAGAGCAAGAAAGTTACATGCAATTAGAATTACTTCAAGTCATTCACATTTGTTTATGTCATAATTGTCGCTCTGTCATAAGGTGCACGGTCCATGCACAAACGGAAATAAATATTTGTGAGTTAATAAAAGCGCAAAATCCGACCAACATAAGCCGAGGGTTATAGTAGCTTTGGCTGTTACATGCCTGGCTTTCATGCGATTAATACATCAGCCATCAAAATGAATGCCTTGGATAAGCAGGAAAGAAAGGGATGGGTTTTAGTCTGTAATTCTAAATTTGCTTAAACAAATATACCAACCTGAACTGGCATCTCAATTGTGTATGCAACAAAACAACTATGACGAATGTAACTACTGCTGGAGAAAGAGTAATGTTAACGTTAGGTCAGATGGACGGCTGGCTTTGGGCTACATCATTATAGTGTCACATGTATTCACAAAGTAGTGGATTAATTTGCTGCTAATGGGGAGGCGTCAGTCATGGGAGATTAAACATGGAGCAGTGAAAAGGGCAGACATACCTGGTTGGGCATTGGCCTCTTCTTGTTCGCTGCTGTGCTCCTCTGCTGGGCACTGAGATGGACAAAACATGATGAATAAGGGTCACCACTGAAATTACAACTTTTTACTCACTGCTAGTGCTCAGATATAATCAATCAATCAATCAACTTTATTTGTATGGCGCCTTTCCAACACAAGGCCACTCAAAGCGCCTCACAACCCACATAATATCAGACAATAATTGCAATAATTGCAATGAATTCATTTCTAATCATAGGCTGGCTTTCAAAAGCCTCAAAAATATGTAAGTCCTTTCTAGTTCCATTTCCTTGAACAAAAGGCTTTCATTCACATGCCTCCATCTGGTCTATCTGCCCACCTGCTGTTGGGGTACCCTGGGCTGCTACCGTCGTCCAGCCTCCGGTACTCGGGACTGAAAGTAACGTCATGGAAACCGTTAAACAGCCCCAGCGTACGGTGCACAGTTTGGGAAACCAACTCGCCATGCAGAGCCTCGGCCGGGAATGAACGCTCACACAATAATGGGGTTGTTAATAAGGGTTTCACCTTAGTAATAATTGTTATATCCACTCAGGATGGAATGACACTAGTGGGGCAATAACGGCAGAACAAAAGCTTCAGTAAAAGCTACCACTTGTCTCCCTGGATGGGTTTGTGTCGGGGAAGACATATATATTATTGACTTATTGTTTACTTCCTTGATTATGGCAGCCATATGAAGAAAAATGTCTTAAACTATATCCTGGTCGAAGAAACACATATGATCTTTGACTGTTGGCCTATAATGTATGGCAACCGAGGGTCATTGTTTTATTGGACATTTTAAATTGCCCTAATGATAAAGATAATACATTATAATAACTATAATAACTTCTGGTGGAAAAATAAGAGTCCTGATGGCCACTTACATTCATACTGAAAGTAGGAAAACTTATTTGGCTGAGTACCAATAACGCAGCAATAACAACAAAGCTTAAATCGCTATCAGATACATTTGAGTGGACTCATATCCACACAAGCACCAAAATATCACCATTTGCCTTTATTCGATTATTTGCTTGTAGATAATCAGAATTGCCATACCTTCAAAACTTTTATCAACAATTGCATATCGGCGACCTCTTTTTATATTATGGCTACGTAATAATGTCTTGTTGATGGGTTTTAAAAAGCCATTTTGTACCATGCCGAATGCAGAAACAAGCATATAATGCAACCATAATCACCATAATCCATTTTCTCCCACAGGAAAACACATGCTCTGATGTGGCCAGGCTCTAATTGGCATTCTAGATTAATCTACTACAGCAAATCTCTCAACATGTGTGAAATGGTAGTTTAGTTTTTAACCTTTCGAAAGATTTACTGAACGGAAACGCAAGCTCGACAAATGGCAGACACATACTTAGCAAAACCAATGAAGTCCTCATGGTTGGTGTTGATGTAGGACAACTCAATGTCAATCAGCAGCAGAACCTTCATTAAAGCAGAACATTATGATTAGAAGCGATAGACGTTGATTAAAACATCAGGAGCATCTTGTCTCCCCTCTGATTTCCTACTATAAATAAAATTGGACGGACTTTCTATGAATGATAAAAGGATGAATAGGAAAAAGTACAGATTGAACTAATATTGCCAGGTGGCTTTTTGTAAATGGAGGGTAAAGTGGAGAAAAAGTAGAGGTTATCATAGTTTAGCATTGGGATGTATCATTAACATATTGTATTATGAACATGTAATGTGATACTAATGGATTCTCCAGATGCAAGGCAATGCACACCAGTAGTTGCTGAAACCTCTCTCCAAATTGTCACAGGGTCCAATCAGTTATATTGCAATTGGTTATTCCAAATGGAAGTAGTCCATTGGCTTTTTTGTTTGTTTGGCAAAATTGTTTGAGAAATTATGAAATTTGTAATTAAAAGGTATGCATATTCACAATACATAAAAAGGCTGAAGTACTAGACTTTGGGTCATTCAATTAAGAAGTTGAGTTTTCAGGGCGCTCACCTGGTCCTTCGTTTTTCCTTCGGTTTCTCGGATGTGAGTGGTGACGATCCTCTCTGTCTCCTCTCTGAGTCTGGGGTAAGAGTTGAGCTGAAAAAGACCACAGAACCAGAAACTGCAGAAGCGGTTGCCCAAAAGCAAAAACTTGAGCTTGGGCCCGGTTAGACTTACCCACGACATCACAGACAAACAGGAAGTGAGAAGTGAGAGTAAGTAAACAGAGAAAAGGGAAAGAATCAAGTGACATTTTAGTGCCACAAAGTTACACAGCCAAAAAACTCACACAAGACGAGGTGAGAAAGAGTCTATGAGCAGAAAACAGATTGGAAAAAAATGAGGTAGTAGCACAAGGTTTGATCAAGTGACAGTAAGACATGAACAATTCCTCCAAATGTAACGTCATTTTTCAATATTAAAAAATTAAAACTGAAATTATGTTACTGAAAACATAATATTATGATCGCTACATGCCTGTTGCTTTGGTATTTTTTGTGGTTTTGCAAAATTGAAATTTAATGTAAATTAGAAAAAAGCATGATGAAAAATAGCTACTCATTGTCCAAAAACATAATGGCGTCAACACTGCTTGAAATAGAATACGGAGTGTAGAATTGAATGCTGTTAAGATCTTAAATATTGCAATGCTGAATACGTTACAAGTCTTTCAAGACCTTGCTGCTACCCATATTCCACTGTAATGCATTCAACTTTTTCTGCTATTAGAACATCACTAGAAGGAGGAAGGGGGGAGAAAATGAAGTGAAATGTTTCAAAACAAGCAGAAAGTCTGTATGCAGAGTACCCCTCTGACCACAAGATGGCAGTGGAGATATGTTGCCATGGAAACACAGTACTGAGGCTGACACTGTCCACAGAGCCCAGAGGCTATAGCGATCATCTCCCTTTAACTATGGTCTCTGCCCGTCCAGCTCCTCTAGTGAATGCCAAACTGCTGTTCCGGGTCAGCTCTGCCCAGAATAACAACAGGATTTTGGAAATGCCAACGCACTGTGCAAATAATTATGGCATCTTTTAGTCTAAAGCGTTCCCTCTCCTTTTTATATACCAGCAAAAACGGGCAACATTAAAACATTTTTTTTTAAGTTCTACATAAATTGTTACCACACACTGCGATATTAACATTGTGCCGCTGAAAGAAAGAGTCAAAAGCAGGAACTATTGAAGAGAAGAAGAGAGAACTATTTTTGTCAAAGCACAGTATGGTTTAAAAAGGCGTGTGGCGCACTGTAACAGTCACACAGCCAAATGAATAGCTATACTTGGCCATATAAGTTACTTATTAAACTAGTCTTTCACCGTTGAAATTAAAATGTACACGTCATCAAACTATATTGTTACATCGTCATCTACTGAATGATAAGTTGTATACTTGTTGTTCAAGCACAACCAATAAGGAAAGGGAAACAAATGCAGTTATTGGTATAATGGGAAACGGCAGTAGCAACATCAAATCTAACTATTTTGTCATAGCAATATTATTCACTCCAAGAATAGAATACATCTGGCTGGCACTATCTCAAAACCTTGGAGAGTGTTTAGCCTTGTTTATTTGCTTGCGAGTTGATTGGGAAACTACAGAGTTCGTGAGAAACAAACACGGATTTGACAGATGACACAAAACAAACACTGTGTGAGGGGAGAGCAGATTTAGATTTCTGCATGAAACAGATGAGGAATATTTGGGCCGCTGGGAAATGGTGATGCTGCTCTGATGCGATTAGCACTTCACTGGGGAGACACACACCGGAAAATGAATTGGATTTCCTGCTGTACTGGATGTATCCCTGGTTACCTTTACGGCACACTTGACAGCGATCGCGGTGAGCTCCGACACAACCATATCCACACACTTCAGGCTGGGAGCTTGCAGTTTGAGAATCTGCTTTTTGACTATTGCCTCAAAAGCCAGGTCAGGGGTGAAGAGGCCCGTTCTAAACAGGGTTGAAAGCAGCGACAGGGGAAGTATAGGCCAATATTAAACAGAGAAGGACAGGAGAGGTAGAAAAAGAGGAAGAAAAAGACATTTGCTCAGTTAGTATTTGAGTCAGAAAGGGCAAGCAAATCGCACGATGGACAAGCCAGTTTTTTCACATCCACTTCCTCTAAAGTTGCGGCGGTGAGGTCTAGTCAGCTCGAATTCAAACGTGTATTTTGTTGAAGGCAGAATGAGGATGTGAGGCTTGCAGCTTGTCCATAGCAGAGATGTTGACAGAAGGACAGAAAGCTCCAGAGTCCCCAAAAACATCTCAGATCCAGCGTTACGACACGTCACCACATCACAACCGCACAGCACAGCCCTGACAAGGACGGCCGGCCCGGGACACGCTGAATGCAAACTGCACTGTGTGTGTGTTTGACGGCAGTTTAAATACACCAAGCATCAGAGAGCCTTGAGCAGTCTCACTTTTGTTTAGCTTTATGTTTATATAGTCAACAAAGCGCCATGACATCGCCTGAGAGATTTCTAAGGACTGCAGAAAATACAAACCCGCAAGTTTAGTTTGTTCTTGTGTGCAACTTTTACCATGTATACAGCACAACATAACTAGGGATGTAATAATAGAGCTACAGGAAGGAGCAACTCATTATCATTGGGTCCAAGAATATCAGAGGTCAACAATAACTAATGAGAGGAGTTCAGACCGCCCTCTGCCACTGTTCTATTATAAATGGTGAATTATTTTGTGAACTCAGGCTCTCGCTCTTCATCTGAGTGGCACTTGTCAGAATAAAGAACTACGTCTGTAATTCAAGGTCTAAACTTGAACAAAATCGTAAAGCATTTATCATCATCCATTATTTTGTGACTGAAATAATAAATAAATGATAGACTAAAGTGAAGTAATGATATGAAAAAGAGAAATAGAGCAACTTTATTTATAGTGCGAAATAGGCAAACATATCCAGTTTGTTTTTATGTAGTGGTGTTTGTTTGTTTCAGTTTGCAGACAGCCTGTCCCGCGGGCGCCGGCTTCCGTTGCCGGGGGAGATGCTGGACACCTGCAGTACCTTGTTGGTGCACTGCCTGACTGTGTTGATGAGCTCCTGAATGACCATATCGACACATTTGATACAGGGAGTTTTCAGCTTTACGATCTGCTTTTTGACGATGGCCTCAAACGCCAGGTCTGGAGTGAACAGGCCCGTTCTGAGGACGCACAGAGAAACACAGGCGCAGAGCCAGACACAGATGGGACGATTAACAAACATATGGACAATGGAAATGTGATGAGAACAAAAGAAAATAACTTCACAATGGGGCAGTTAATATTTAGTACGGTTTCCTAGTTGACCACATTTTGTTTTTTGGAGGACTATTTTATTTATTTTTTAAATATTTTTATTTTTAGATATTTATTTCTATCACAAGACTGCAAAAATGAGAACATATAGAAGAACATGGCTGAAGAAATTCAAGCCAGATCAACTCTTCATGTTCAAGTCATGTTTTTTGTCAATATTTGAATGATTTTATGCCATTAAAAGGTGCATTCCTCAACCAGGTAGCGGGCACTCCTTTGGTTCATCATTTGGTTTTTTGTTATTGTCAATAAACTTTCCTTTTACATAGTTACAATATTGGAGAGAGGAGTATACAAATATATTCTTAAAACACAAAGTGAATGACAAAGTAAGAAATTAAATTATTGAACCACTTTACAAAAAGCGGGTCACCACCAGGACAGCTGAGGAATGCACCTTCAGTTTGTGTCATATGTATAATCATTTCAACATTTTCTCTTTTTATTTGTCTAATCAATCGACAGGGCTTGTGTTTAGTCCACCGATAATTGATTTGGTTTTCTACAGCCATAGATACAAAGACACACAACCACAATGATGCTACAAAACATAATAACAATAATAATGAGGAAATGTAAATGCTTTGGCTGAGATGGAAAATGAGTGGGTGGTTTTGCACTGAACAAGAAAAAAATCAAACCACAGAATAAAAGGCATTGAAAGTCTGAACTCAAACACTGATTATTCTCTGAGGAGTTTCTGTCATTTCACAGTAAATAAAGGCCGAAGACAAAGCCACATATAGAGATTTTGGAGCATGAGTGAGCTCTGTGGGAGCCTCGGCGCGGACTTGCCTGACACCATGGACGTTCTTGATTGCATGACTGATTTCCCGTCTGAGCTCCTTCTCATCAAACACAATCTGTGTCAGACAAAGACAAAGGGCGTGAATAACATTTTGGGCTAATTATCTTGTACATGCACATGAAAGATTAGATTAGTATGACTCTCCATACCCGGATCAGCTCAAAAGGGAAGCGTTCGTGGAAGATGCGGTTGATTTTGGCGCCTCCAGACAGTTCTTTGGTGTCCACTTGGTCTCCAGAGCCCTCGATGCATTTTTCAAAATCCACACCAAACTGTTGCACCATCCTGCAAAAAAATACATGGTTTTGTTTTTATTAAGGGCCAAGTTGTTTAAAAGAAAATTGTTTTATTTAGCAGTCTTTTAAAAAAAACTCAAGAGCTATCTTTACAAAGTAGTATTGTAGAAATCAGGCCTTAACGCCTACTATAATGCCTACAATAATGTGTGCGAGAGACATGTAGTATACGTCTCTCGCACGAGAGACATCTAGTATACGTCTCTCGCACGAGAGACATCTAGTATACGTCTCTCGCACGAGAGACATCTAGTATACGTCTCTCGCACGAGAGACATCTAGTATACGTCTCTCGAACGAGACATGTAGTATACGTCTCTCGCACGAGAGACATGTAGTATACGTCTCTCGCACGAGAGACATGTAGTATACGTCTCTCGCACGAGAGACATGTAGTATACGTCTCTCGCACGAGAGACATGTAGTATACGTCTCTCGCACACGTTATAGATGGCGTTCCCTCTCAGGAACATGCATTCTCCTCCTGCAAGCTCCGTTTACAAGTCACTTTTGGCCTCGCTCACACAAGCTCACTTTCCAAGAAGATTTGCAATTTTTCCACTATGTTAGACAATAAAGACATAGAAAACTAGTGGGAACCTGGGCTTTCAGCGCACGCCATTGTATGAAAGAATCTCCCAAAAACATGTACGACGGCCATAACATTTTGGAAAACATTATCAGAACATGATTCAAATACAATGGCGTCTTTATCCGAGTTTTGGTCTTACTGTACTCTTTTTCACAGAAAATGATGTGACAGAGGCCAAATATAAATGCACATGCAAACTAGAGATGGAACCAGAGCAAAGAACTACTTTCATAGATTGTATTTCTAGCCTCCAGCTTTAAAAGTAATATTGCGTGTAGCGTTCTTACTGCAGTAAAGCTTTGGTCTTGCGTGTGGGGTCGTCTGGTCTGAAGTTTTTGTACTCCTCCACCTCCTTCTCCAGGGACAGCAGTTGACCCTGGAGCTTGTTGCGCAGTCCCGGTAGCGTGTCTCTGATGTGGTTTGTTAGTTGCTGGGACAAGACAGACAGGATGTTGCATATCTATTTTCAAGCATCAAAGCAGCATGGTTTTTTTGTCACAGCTAATACACCTGGTTGAGTGTCTTTTGAAGGTGAGGCGTCCCCATGCGCTCTGCTATGTGTCTGTACGAAGGATGGGACAAGAAGAACTTCCTCTCAGCGGCCAGAGCTGCACGGATGTCCTTCTTTCCATCAATATCTTTCTGACTGCGGTTCACAACGCCGATGTAACCTGAACGCAAGAAAATATATATGACTCTCTGTCCAATGAAAACTAAGCCATGTGCTGAATTTAAAAGAATCATCAGCACCTCTACGCAACGGAAGAAGTTTATTTTCCAAAATATCCTTTGCATCTGTCCCTTCATCCATAAGATCCAGTTTTGTTATGACACCGATGGTACGCGTTCCTGTAAAGCAAATAACCAACATACAAACATAAAAATAAAAGGATCCCAGCCCTACAGTATATGCAGTAGTCTCCATGATTGGTGTGAAGATAAAAGGGGTTCATTATGTGTGCAGCTACAGTGCCTTGCGAAAGTATTTGGCCCCCTTGAACCTTTCAACATTTCGCCACATTTCAGGCTTCAAAAATAAAGATATAAAAATTTAAATTTTTGTCAAGAATCAACAACAAGTGGGACACAATCGTGAAGTGGAACAACATTTATTGGATAATTTAAACTTTTTTAACAAATAAAAAACTGAAAAGTGGGGCGTGCAATATTATTCGGCCCCTTTACTTTCAGTGCAGCAAACTCAGTCCAGAAGTTCAGTGAGGATCTTTGAATGATCCAATGTTGTCCTAAATGACTGATGATGATAAATAGAATGCACCTGTGTGTTATCAAGTTTCCGTATAAATGCACCTGCTCTTTGATAGTCTCAGGGTTCTGTTTAAAGCACAGAGAGAACCATGAAGACAAAGGAACACACCAGGCAGGTCCGAGATACTGTTGTGGAGAAGTTTAAAGCCGGATTTGGATACAAAAAGATTTCCCAAGCTTTAAACATCTCAAGGAGCACTGTGCAAGCAATTATATTGAAATGGAAGGAGTATCAGACCACTGCAAATCTACCAAGACCCGGCCGTCCCTCCAAACTTTCATCTCAAACAAGGAGAAGACTGATCAGAGATGCAGCTAAGAGGCCCATGATCACTCTGGATGAACTGCAGATAACTACAGCTGAGGTGGGAGAGTCTGTCCATAGGACAACAATCAGTCGTGCACTGCACAAATCTGCCCTTTATGGAAGAGTGGCAAGAAGAAAGCCATTTCTCAAAGATATCCATAAAAAGTCTCGTTTAAAGTTTGCCACAAGCCACCTGGGAGACACACCAAACATGTGGAAGAAGGTGCTCTGGTCAGATGAAACCAAAATGGAACTTTTTGGCCACAATGCAAAACGATATGTTTGGCGTAAAAGCAACACAGCTCATCACCCTGAACACACCATCCCCACTGTCAAACATGGTGGTGGCAGCATCATGGTTTGGGCCTGCTTTTCTTCAGCAGGGACAGGGAAGATGGCTAAAATTGATGGGAAGATGGATGGAGCCAAATACAGGACCATTCTGGAAGAAAACCTGTTGGAGTCTGCAAAAGACCTGAGACTGGGACGGAGATTTATCTTCCAACAGGACAATGATCCAAAACAAAGGCAAATCTGCAATGGAATGGTTCACAAGTAAACGTATCCAGGTGTTAGAATGGCCAAGTCAAAGTCCAGAACTGAATCCAATCGAGAATCTGTGGAAAGAGCTGAAGACTGCTGTTCACAAACGCTCTCCATCCAACCTCACTGAGCTTGAGCTGTTTTGCAAGGAAGAATGGGCAAGAATTCCAGTCTCTCGATGTGCAAAACTGATAGAGACATACCCCAAGTGACTTGCAGCTGTAATTGCAGCAAAAGGTGGCGCTACAAAGTATTAGCGCAAGGGGGCCGAATAATATTGCACGCCCCACTTTTCAGTTTTTTATTTGTTAAAAAAGTTTAAATTATCCAATAAATTTCGTTCCACTTCCCACCTCTGCACCTTCTCCACCGACTCCCACTGATGACTGCTGTCGTTGTGTCCTTGGGCAAGACACTTAACCCCACTTTGCCCAAAGCCCCCACTGAAAGATCAAGGCTATGCTCACACTCAGAGAGCAGCCGTCCTCCTGTGGACTCACCACCTGCAGAGGGTCAGTGAGGGGCTGGTGCTATGAGACTTGGGTGGCATCTCTGACTGCCACCCCCCTGACCCAGAAATGGATTAAAGGGTAGAAAATGGATGGATGGATTTCGTTCCACTTCACGATTGTGTCCCACTTGTTCTTGAAAAAAAATTTTTTTTTTATATCTTTATGTTTGAAGCCTGAAATGTGGCGAAATGTTGAAAGGTTCAAGGGGGCCGAATACTTTCGCAAGGCACTGTATGTAAAACTGGAGACTCACCCTGGGGGTCCACCTCCTTGGCAATCTTCAGGGCGTCTGAATTGGCCAGGTCAGTGTTGGCGGGGGTCACAGCAAGGATCAGACAGCTCTCTTTGGTGATGAACTGCATCAACATGTCTCGGATCTGAAACTCAATGTCATGAGGCTGGTCTCCCACGGCAACCTTCGTCATTCCAGGAAGGTCAATTAGCGTCAGGTTGAGCACTGCAGGACAAAGTCATTAAGAAAAATCAAAATGTGGAATAATGACTGGGAATATCACCACGTTGTTAGTGTAGTTTTAATTGATTATGGAGTAATTAAATCGGCTGATTGAAGAGAAATTGCTGTATTGATTTGCTTCTGACACTCTATGTCATCATAAAGGTTTCCAATGAAGTTCAGAAAGTAGAGAATATCACAATTATACTCACTTAGACTTAACTAGCATCAAAACTAGATAAGTAGTCAAAGGAAAATCAGCATGGCATCATTTGATCTTTCTTGAGCAGTTTCTAATGTACATCTGAATGACAACTACTATTATATCTTGTAACACAAATAGCACGAATATTCTCACTATCATTTATCTTATGAAAACATTTACATCTCTGCAGCTTACTTATAATAATAATAATCCAAGGCAAGGTATCATGCATTTCAATTTTTTCTCATGTGCTTTATCAGACATTGACTACAAATCACAGATATTTCCACTATTTAGTATTCACATGAAACTGGTCCATATATTAAACAATGTGTGAAGCTAATGCCACAAATGTCCATTACCGTGCGGGGAGTAGACCCTCAGGTTAATTGGGACGGCAGAAATGCCTTTGTTGGAGCCTGTTATCCGGTCGGTCTCCGCTTCAATTTCCGAACGCACTTCATCAAAATCCACAAATTTCTTTCCTTTGCAGTGCAGGAACTCGGCATATTCTGGACAAAAAGTAGATTAAGGTAAAAATATATAAATTAAATCATCGTGAGAATGCATTCTGTAGATTTTCACACCTGCTTTATTGTTGATAAGCTGCAAAATTAGCGGTCGGCGAGTTACGATGCCTGATCCACGCGGCAGGAAGTCCCTGCATAGACAAACATAAAGAGAGAATTTATTTATTTAGAAATAAGAATATATACTGTTGCACACTGAGAACTGGGTTATATTAATATCACAAGGACAGTTCACACCTCGCACTGGTCTCAAAAACAAAATCAAACGTGTCAGTAATCTTTGAAAACTCGTTCACACACACCCACTGATAAGACCCGGCCTTATCAGTGGGCCAGACGCAGTGGCCATCTGACTTCCGGTGATACCAAGATGATAATAACTGATGTGTTTGTTGTCATTACACTCTGGTAATTGTTGATTTTGTTCATTTTAAAACTATGTATTAATGGCTTGAACTATGGGTGAAAGAAAACGTGGAAAAGTACCTTTACTTTTGCAGTCCTAATGAAAACAATATAAAACAAATGACTGTTATAGAGATAAAGTGTATAGTAATTATTAACAAAGGTTCAGGAAGAGGGACACACCTCAAAAACTGTAAACTTCTCAACTACCCAGAAGGAATTTATTTATTCAAGCTTTTTCATGGTGCCACGATTGTCTGTGCACTCGACCCAACCTACTCACTTATGTCTCTCATCTGCTTTGTACCCTTTGGTATTGGATCGGAGAGGCACTAAACCTGAGACGGAACCCCCATCCTAATTCTCACCCAGCATCATGAGGCTTCACTCCACTGCCATCAATAAACATATTTCATCTGTATATTATTGGTGTAGTCCATGTCCATACCAGTGAAATAATGTAATAATAAACACTGGATTTGCAAATGTACATGTTTGGTTTTAGAATGATCCTATACAATAAATACAAGGTATTCACTGTTGTTCTGATAATGCTGTGGAATTTTGAAATAGCCGCTGAGTCAGCGGATACACATCTGGAGCCAATCTCACCTCTCCCCTGGACAACAGGAAGAGCAGCAAGAATTGAGACAACAAACTTTACAAGAAACATCAACTCATTCACTTCTTACACCAAAAGAAGCAAGAACAGCATTGATAAACCTGATGCTATTATGTAAAGCATATACATTAAATTTCAAGTTATTGACAAAAAAAGATAACTTGAACACATTTTCCTTTGACTAGTAGCATTCGTTCTAATTGTGTGGAGTTCTCAGTGACCCTACAACATATACAGGCCCAGAGTGGAGAGGACTGACACAGGCTATGGTAAAGAGACAGAACATTCTAGACATGGCTCACATCACACTTCAATAGAGATGTCAGGGCTTTGTCAATGCAACAGGGAGGTCATGCCAGCACAAAAGTATTGCTTTATAACTCACTCAATCATTCTCTATTTTAGCGATGAAGGCAATCTAGATCAAGATTTAATTAGAGTCACATTTATGGCATTCGTAATCTATGATCAATTCCCATCTCAAATTCTATTTCAATTCATGTTCATCTTTCTAATTTTTTTATGTTGATCTTTGTGTGCTACTGAGAAACATTGCAATGATAGGCCACACCAATTGTTCCTGCAGGCTTTTGATGTGGGTGCTTGAAAACTGTACATTGGACATTACAGGAGCTGACACACACACATTCATGCGTCTCTCCAGTTTCACTTTCACTAAGTTTAAAGTTCGATGGAGGGTGAGAGACTGGACACTGCACAGAGAGATACGAAGGTGAATGCAGAGACGGTCAAAGCAGGTCCACCTTTCTGAAATCATAACACATCAGGCAAACACTCCATCTTCATGAATTGGATAAATGGCAGTGGCATATTGAAAAGACGCAGCGCAGGGCCAGAGCTCCATTATTGATGCCCTGTAAATGATAGACGAGGCCGAGCAGATTGTGTATCCTTTCATGCATTATGGATGTACATCGAGGAGAGATTCAGACTGGGCCTTCCCTCTGCAGGGGCACAGCGGCAGTGACAATGAAGAAGGGAAAGACGTCATCTACAGAGACTCCGGGTCTGTGCCCTCTGCCCCTCCACCTGCCTGTGATTGGCTGAGAGCACTTTGACTGTTCTCTGTGAAAAGACTGAGGCCAAACAAGGCCGAGAGAGAGGAATACAGAAAGAGATGAAGCAAAACTCATCCTACAGTGGTTTAGAGCGGCTTGAACAGTAATCATGGCACCCTGGGTCTCCACAGACTGTGAGTGGGCACAGGTCTGTAGAAACTGGTCAGTCTCTGAAACTCTGCCTAAAATCATCTGAGCAATTTAAATCTGGGATTTTCAAATGTGCTGCTAAAATATACAAACTATGGATGGCTGCACAGTGCACAAAGATCTTCCATTTAAAGTAATGGTAGAAAAAAATACAACTAAAAATCCGAACATTATTTTGGTAATTCACTGATGATCTGCTTTCAAATATTTGTCTGTTTTTACTTTGGCTATGCAAGTTCACTTGCCACTGAGAGCTGTTTTAACAATATTATCAAGATTATAATATTTAAGTCTATATTTAGTTTTTTTTACCAGATAATCGCTTTGTGGTCAGTCGTAACCGTCACCTTAGTGACTCAAGAGAAAGAACAATATGAAGTTTGACCAACAGCAGCAGAGTGACATTATGCAAGCAAGTCTTTATCACATGTAGTAAATGAGCTCATTCTGAGCACTACCATTCAGATCCAGATCAGTGACTTCTGCAGAGACAGAGCTGAGCTGATAACAGCCTCCGCCCGGCAGCTTTTACAGGCAGATACCAAGTCTGACCACGTAATAATCACATAAACAATCTATTTTTTCCATATTCAAGTGGTGTGATTAGAAAATACAGGATTAGGGAATGTTTTAGTTATGAAAAATCTAGTCTTCTCATACTGAAATAAATTGTACACAGCACGTATTAGTGTCAATGCATTATTAATAAACAGAACGTAAACTAAACAAAAAAACAAGCATTATAGGAAACTCTTCCCAAACAAGCCTGTAGATCCACAGTGACTCATTGCAATGGTCACATGCAAACATGGGTTGACATAGTAACCTCCAGGTGTAACCAGGTGTGACATTGAAATCAGTTGCATGTCAGGGAGCTGGTCTGTCAGTCCATGTACTTGACTCCTTTCAATACAGTATTCCTATTAACACATTTATCTGAATGATCAGTGACATGTTTTTTTTTTGTAATCTTTACCTTATGGTAAAGATTATGGTTATGTTATGGGTTATGTTTTCACTGGGGTCTGTCAGTCTGTCTGTGTGTTAAAAATATAACTCGAACAGTGATTTGTACAATCGTTTCAGGGAGCCTTGGAAATGGGAGAAATTATTAGTTTTTAAAGGTGGTCAGGATCACTGCCTGGGTCTAGGAATTGTTTTATGAAATGGAACTTCACTTCTTGGCAGAGGTCTACGCTCTACAATGTGCTTTCTAGTTATTTTTACATTACAAAACAGGGGTAGGAGGATACAAATATGGGCCAGTGGCCAGTTGGAATAGAAAAAAATAATTGATTGCATCTGGATGACATAAAAACGGATTCACAATACAAAAGTTCATATTGCTAATCCAAATGCATTAGGGTGCACAGTGACATGTCAGTTCCATCAAAAACTATAGAACTGGATAACAATGAAATGATAATGACTTATAATACACAAGTTGTGCGAGTAAACGCAATCTCAACTGTCTCCTTCTTTCAAGTTGCTTGTGTCAGGCCAACTTCCTTTCTCTCACTGTCTCGCCTATATGTACATGTTGTGTATTCATGTGGGCTGGGTTTCAGTCAGAGCGTATCTCAAGGAGGAAACCTGCTAAACAAGCTCGTAGCCAGTCTGTTTTGTCTCATTATCTCAGGAGCCATCTCATAAGGGGCTAATGTGCAACAGAAGGACAAGGACCTGCCAGTGGAGAAGAGTATCTATTCTATTCCATCTAACAGTCTAAAATAATGCTTTGAACATTGGATAAACTAAATCAAATAACAATGCACATTGTAGACATGAGTCATGGCTATTGTTGTGTGGGTGTGGCCAGGTCAATTAAAGGGGAAAAGGAAATATCCTTATGAAAGTCTTGCATGTTTAGTATCGTGTAGTCACATATCACACAAATGAATTCCCCTGATGTTAAACCAGTGGTGATTTCAATATACTAATACTAAACTTAACATTCATCCATCCGAGGATTCTGCCTATGGCTTTAAACGATGTTGATAGAGTTTTTTACATTACTATACAGGTTAGGTTGTCTATATTATAAACAATTAAAATGTGCTAGCGGTTTACACAATACAAGTAACTATGATAAAGTTGATGGCATATGGTTCTAAGCTCTGTCATCAACAATCAAAGCAGTACCGTCTACAACAATTACAACTCAATGTAGGGAAGGCTTTTACTACTATTGTCTCATGTGTGGAGGATAAAAGCTGGAAACGGTACTTTAACAGAGTTGATGAATGGATAATTGTGACAAGTGCACCATCGCTGTCAGAGCTCAATTGAAAAAGTAACCCCCGCATATAAACCACCAAACGCGTTGCTATAAGACAGTATTCATAATGACCGTAGATAATAGTGAAATAGGCGTCAGTACACTCACCTTCCGACAAAATTTTCCAACACGGAGCTCTTCCCTGCGCTTTGCCCACCGACCACCGCTATTTGGGGCAGATCTAGGTTGGCAGCTTGTCCTATGGAGCTGAACGCGTCTTGAAGTTTATTAATAAGGGGAATCAGGTCCTCCATGCCCCGGTTCCCCATGGCTCTTTCGGCTTGGGAGAACCCTCAACCAGACGAACACCAGAAGCTAATAATCACTGGAGCTAAATGGCTAAGTGATGTTAGCTTCGTAGCAAGGTGCTCCCGGGTTAATTTGAAGAAGTCCCACGGCTGCGAACAGACGTTAGTGGTTTGGCCGCAGATGTGTAACGCTAAATTCGCACTTAGCTAGCGCTGTATCATTTCTTTTTTGTATTAAATGACATTAGTTTGCCAGACATTCGAAACGGGACGGGGAAAGTCGCATAACAAAACTTCCTCAACACAGATATCCGGTCAAAGGAGACGACATCCGATCGACCGGTGACATGAGCCCGCCTCTTTGATCTGAGGCAGCTCATTGGTTGAAAGTACTGTCATTTACACTGTGTTGACCACTGATTGGCTTTCCAAAAGGCGTGTTCCCCGGTTAAAATAATGTACTTCATCCTCATTGGTCCACCTGCTTGTCTATTTGCCACTGCTCGCGTCACGTGCTCACTCCAACATGGCCACCACCACAGCGTGTGAAGCTCAAATAAATGCTCCCGAAAACAGCATGCATTTGAAGAAAGTGTTGTCCACAGCCTCGCCTCTTACGTTGAGGATTGTGGCTGAGTGTCCGGTGACAAAAGCCAGAGCGTGTGAACTGATTTTGCCCCACAGCCCAGTGAGCACCCCTGTTTTCATGCCTGTAGGCACTCAAGGCACCATGAAGGGGATCACTGTGGATCAGCTGGATGCCCTGGGATGTCAGATCTGCCTGGGAAACACGTATCATCTAGGCATGAGACCGGTTCGTGCTTTTAATGGCTGACAAATTCATAATATCTATTTGTCCTATTTGTTTTAGAGATGCTCTACGCAGCTTTTCAGAGGACATGAACTTACTTTAACATGGTAAACCCATATGGATGTATTGGTAAAGCACGTTAGCTTAACGTCCTTACAGCTGAATGTGTAGCATAGACAGGAGGGAGATTATCTTGTCTCCTAAAAGGTTCTATATTCCTTGGAAGCTTCCTCTGTAAGGAATAATATTTTCTTCAGAGACATTAAATTGACCATCCATCTAGCTAGTTCCTCAATTTCCAACGCAGATTCTGTATATGGTTTTCACAGACTTGGACTTTTAGCATATAATTTCTCTAAGTGGATCAACTTGGAGAAAACACCTACTATATTGTAATTGCAACAACCCCATCATAAATGTTGCTTTTTACAATGACCACGTTGCAAGTTTTCTGATGGGAGTCTTTCTTACAGATGATTTTCTGAATATAGATGGTATTGCTTTTACTGGGATGATCCATAATGTGACATTAAACCTTGAAGACAAACAATGAAGCAAGTTTCAGTTCAGATGCAAATCTGCTTTCTGAGTGATGTTCATTGAAGATTTAATGTTTAATAAAGAATGCATTTGAGGAATACCTGGGAAGTACCTGTAACAAAAACCATAGCAATTCATTTGTGATTTTCACGTACTCCCTCGCATTTAATCATAGCAATAACAAAGATAAGTAGGTAGCAAATCTTCCACGAGTGATGTATTAGCACCACTTTGTCTTTGTTTAAATTTAGATGTTACAGTGAAACATGACATATTACCTCATTGTTTCACTGATAGGGCCCAGAACTTATAGAAAAGGCTAATGGGTTACATGGATTCATGAACTGGAAAAGGAATCTATTAACTGTAAGTATTGTTTTTGGCTTTCGCTCTGGCAAATGATGTATGTAAGGCTGATGTAAGGATCTCTGTACAGGACAGTGGAGGATTTCAGATGGTGTCTCTTGTGGAGCTGTCAGAAGTCACAGAGCAAGGAGTCAAGTTTAAATCCCCCTACGACGGCAAAGAAATCCTACTCACCCCTGAAAAGTCTATAAGTATCCAGAACAGTTTAGGTATTTACTTTCATGTATGCATTCATTAATGTTGATGTCAGCAACTTGAAATGTATTTCATTTGTTAAAGAATTATATTAGAACTAATAAGTATGTAATATTGCCTCTCCACCACCTGTAAGCCTTTGTTGTGCTCAATTGCTGTATTACTAGGCTAATTAAATGTTTAATTTATATATTTATTTATTTCCATCCATCCATCCATTTTCTTCCCCTTAATCCATTTCTGGGTCAGGGGGGTGGCAGTCAGAGCTGCACCCAGTACACTTAGCATCAGCCCCTCACTGATCCTCCTGCAGGTGGTGAGTCCACAGGAGCTGAGATCTTTCAGTGGGAGCTTCAGGCAAAGTGGGGTTAAGTGTCTTGCCCAAGGACACAACGACAGCAGTCATCAGTGGGAGTCGTGAAGTAGGTCTTATGGTGGGCTTGAACCCACGACCTTCAGGCCCAAAGGCCAATGCTCTACCAACTGATTTTTATTTATTTATTTATTATATATTATTTTTTTTTTTTCCAGGTATCAAAATATGATTACAATTTATTGTATAGCTCCACCAGTCACAGTGAATTATCTCTTGCTGTACAGTCTAAACCACAGTGTTAATGTGTTATATGAAAAGGATTGAAAGGATTTTTGTTTCTCTAAATTTGATTAAACTGCTGATTTAAAGATGAGCTTGCTTCTCGAGGCCAGATGTCTGTCAGATTTTTGTTTCAGCGTAAAAAAGCAGCTCAGGAATTGATTGAGATGCTTTAGAATAGTCTTTTCGTAGGCCTTTTCTTAGTATCTGAAAAACTTGGTCTCGCCCCCAACTGAGACTAGTATAGACGGACTATAGATTAGACATAATTACGCCATCATTGTGCTTTGCTAATTGCATTAACTCAATATCATTTCACTTTGATTGAAATTCACCTAGAAGCCCCAGTATTGGATTTGTTCACAGACACCACATGCTGTACTTTGTGTTTTATTTGGTTCCACATAACTGCTTTACCTTTTGTTTTTAGGCTCTGACATTATGATGCAACTGGACGATGTGGTGAGCAGCACAGTGACGGGCCCCAGGGTGGAGGAGGCTATGCACAGATCTGTTCGATGGCTGGATCGTTGTATAGCGGCAAATAAGAAGCCGCACAAACAGAATCTATTTGCTATTATCCAGGGAGGACTCAATGCACAGCTGCGCAAAACCTGTCTGGATGGTAATAACACAGTAATTATATCTATTTAGGGAAGTAAACCAGTTTTTCCTGGTTTTACACTTGTCTTGCACTTTACTTCGTTCTGTAGAAGCAAGAATGAATTATTATAAATAAATAATATGCATTTATGTTGGAAAGGTTAAATGTACTTTTTTAATGATAGGTTGATGTATATATTGTTTATGTGAATAACATTGCTCTGTATGTCGATCTTTTTCCTTTAAGATGCTTTTAAAGTAAACACTCGAAGAGCACAGACCTCAGTCAAGAGCCATAGTTCCATTGCTTAAAAAAAAACCTGGATCCAGACATAAAAATGTTGTTTCTTGTTCTATTTCTCAGGTTTCTTGAAAATTGTGTACACATGGGCTTTATGTTTTTGAGTTATGTTGCTAAGACAGCCTGGGGTAATATAATAAAAAATGTGTTTCCTCGATCAAGCACATTTTTCCATTTTTGTAATATAAAAAATTACGGTCTTCATACATTTCTGAGCATGGATAGAGAGAGGAACATTCAACCATTCATTGGATAATCTAAAGTATGCACGCTCTGCCAATCCACATCCACACCACTTACTGGTGGATTGGCTGCAGATCTCTCTTAATAATCATACTAGCATGTCACGTGTAAGGAGAACCTAATGCCATTAGCTGCTTGGAAACATGTGCAAACACAACTAATTATGACATTATTTATAGCAATGTGTTAATTGAATGTATGTTGAAGCATAATTCTTCTTTTTGCTCTGAACCTGGAATCGCATTGATTGGATGTGTTCCTATTAACAACTCATTTGCTGCTGACTTGTTGCTTTCCTGCTTGTTTGCGAAGCTTCATTGATTTTGTGATTAACGTTGCTTTGTAGAAATGACGAAACGTGATGTTCCCGGTTTTGCCATCGGAGGCCTGAGTGGAGGAGAGGAAAAGGATGATTTCTGGAGAATGGTGACGTTAAGCACAGACCACCTCCCCAGAGAGAAGCCCAGATACCTAATGGGAGTGGGGTAGGCGGTGGTAGAAAATGACTACCTCTATGTTAATGTTATGGCAATAATAATAATCTCCTGAATGATTGCTTTGCAGGTATGCCGTCGACCTAGTTGTTTGTGTCGCTTTGGGATGTGACATGTTTGACTGTGTCTTTCCAACTCGTACAGCGGTGAGCTTTTTAATTACAATACGCAAACCAATTATTCCAGGGAATTATAAAGGATCATGTTATTGTGACTCGTCAGTTTGGTAAATTGATCCTTCTCCCGCAGAGGTTTGGCTCAGCGTTGGTGCCCTGGGGGTCTCTCCAAGTGAAAAGCAAACAGTACGCTAAAGACTTCAATCCTATAGATCCTGACTGTGAATGTCCTACTTGCAAAAGGTACACAGAAACTAATTACATGCCTTGAAGCTGTTTGTCTTATGTGTTTGATGTACTGGGTGTGTAATAGCATTGTTCAATCACCCTTCACCCTATTGCCTCTAGGTGGCATTGCATCGCAGCACAGGTCATGATTAAATACATTTATCTTCTCAGCCGCGATGAGACCTACCAGACCTTGTCAACTATAGCCTTAACATGTTCACTGACTGCATCAATGGGAGCACTCTTGTTGTATAATGTCAACTGTAAGGACAAGTCAGCATTAGCCTTCAGGTGTGATCTATCAATTTTTGTTCCTTTTTTCCAGTAATTTAGATGCGTCTTGTTGTTACTTAATCATAAAAAAAACAGATTAGCCATGTTTCTGATGAGATTAATTAATTATGGTTAGCCACGCTTCTAAAACCAGATTATTATTAGGCTTAAGAGGCATGTTTTATTTACCGTCATATTCATTTTGAAACATTTTTTAGCAATATGTTGTTTAAACGTTTTGAAATTACAAACATAGATATGCTGTCCATCAATTGTTCAGCAAAAATGCATTTTAACCTCTCCAAATGTTTACGTACAAAAGCTTGTACTTTGAAAATGTTGACTTAGAGTTATATAGGTGATGTTTTCCAAAGTTTTGGAAAGAACCACCCTCTCCAACTCCCTGGTCTTATTGGATGAGCACGTATCACCAGATTGACTGAAAATTAGGAGGACCAATAGTCTTGATGAAAATCCTCCTATATACCTTTAGGTGAATGATTTTAGTACTTCTACTTTTAACAGTTAATTTGTATTCTAATCTATTCCCTACTACTACTACCACTACCACAACCACTAAGTAAGAAAGTAATCTTTATTTATTTCACAGACCGGAGTCACAAAGCGGTTTATAATTGTGGGCATTTGTCCTCTCACGCCACACAGAAATGGGAGCAGTGTCACCAGTACAGGAGGCGCATGCCAAACCTATTGTACATGTTTTTAGTGGTAGGGGAAACCGGAGTACGCGCAGGAAACCTACGCAGACACGGGGAGAACATGCAAACTCCACTCAGAATGGTCCTGTTCCGACCGGGATTTGAACCCAGGACCATCTTGATGAGAAGCGGGAGTGCTATCCACTCAGCCACCGTGCCTCTGGACCCCGCACCTATCTATGTGGACTGAGAGGACAAATGCCCACATTTGTAAACCGCTTTGTGACTCTGGTCTGTGAAAGGCGGTATAAATGAATATTACTTACTTACTGTTCAAATCAATGGCTTGTGGGCGACAGTAGCTCAGTTGGTAGAGCATTGGTTCGTGGGTTCGAGCCCGACCTTCACCATCGACTCCCACTGATGTCTGCTGTTGTTGTGTCCTTGGCAAGACACTTAACCTCTGGGAACACCAGCCACAGTGGGGCAGCTGCGGCTGTAAAGTGCCGTTGTGTCCTTAGGCATTGCCTAGAATGAGTCTAGTGTGTGTGAATGGTTGGTGGTGGTTGGAGGGGCCGATGGCACAGACTGGTTGCCTCGCTTCTGTCAGTGTGCCCCAGGGCAGCTGTGTCTACAGTAGTAGTTTATCACCACCGTGTATGGAGTAAATGAATAATGACATGTAAAGTGTCTTTGAGTGTCCAAAAAAGCGCTATATAAAACCAATGCATCATTATTATTATTATTATTATTATTGTGCTCAGTAGCGCATGTGCCACCATGGGGACCTAGAGATTAGCAGAACTCGCCCATATTTGGAGATAAGCTAGCAATACCCTATACACATATTATTATAGATCCATGGTCTGCCCCTGGTCTCTCCAAGATGTCCGTCCATTCAGATCAGAGCTCTTTGGTGTCTACTCGTTCCATGGAGGCCTCTGGTTCTCAGATCAGCACAGATGAGAGCGAACAGAGATTGTAGCATAAAAGTGTGGATTTATAGAAAACCGATGGATTTCAATGAATAAACTTCATTACAAGAGGCGCTCAAATCCCACTGAATGCGACCTTTAAGAAAGCTGCAGGTTCTAAAACATTTTGTGAACATTGAGGTCTGTGTGGGGATTTCCTGTCGCCCTGTGGTATAGTCTGCAGTACCGAGGGTCACCACCTGCTGGAGACTGGCGTAAGCAGCAAGACTGGTCCAGATAGAATCAAACCATGGATCTATTATAAATAAACTTGTACCTCACGCAGAACACCACAATCTCTTTGTGAAATCCCTAATTTTGAAACAATTTCAAAGCACTTATTGAATTCTTCCATTATTACAAAAATCAAAGGCCTTTAATCTGAATGTTTTCTCTTTTTACAAATACAACCCTCTACAAGAGAGTTAAAGTTCTCCACTTAGTCCAGGGGTTCCCAAAGGGGACGAATGATTGAACAAAAATACAGAAGGCTAAAGGATACATCATAATCTGTAATTGAGGCGGAGGTTTAAATTAATTACAATGTGTGAAAAAAACTGCAATGGACTCTGAAAACAAAAGTAAAAAAACTCCATAATGTCTGTAGCGCTTCTTTGATTTTAATATTCTTGATTTGAATATTAAGCATTATTTTATAGTTTTTAGCTGAAATCAGGTCCTGAAGCCGAAGGTCAAGGAAAACTTTGTCAACAGGGAAAAAATTAGAACCACAGTCAGAAACTGAGGACTCAGTGATAATCGTACCATATTCATGAATAAATAAATACACTTCTCCAGATTAGATCATCCTGGCTGTAAGGACAAACTAATGATGAAATGTTGTTGCAGACACAGCCGCGCTTACCTCCACGCACTCTTCAAGAACGACACTGCAGCGATGCATCACATCACCGTCCATAACATCTGCTATCAGGTGAGCACACACGGTTCTGATGGCAGATAAAACTTCCCATCTTTTAGTGTGCAATTCATCTGAAAATCTGTGTTCCAAAAAGCAATCCATGAATAATTTAGAACACCAGAACAACTCTGATTTGTTTGATAATGGTTTTCTCTCACATTGACTTTGTTTGGCTGCATTGGACTGAATTAGAAGTCTACACAGATTTATATTGACATTATCGGTGAACAAAATTCGGTTACTAGGAATTTGCTTTGGCATTAAAGGTGCTGTCCTGGTGGCGGCCCAGTTTTTGCCTGGGTTCATCAAAATGTTATTGTTATACCTGGAATGTCACTTCAATAGGCCAAGTTACAAGTTATATCTGTGGAGTCTTCTCACTGTTAAAATGATCTGTAATTACGGACTGCACATGTTTTTAACCAAAAAATACAGTAAATTATGAATAACACTGTAACTTGGAACTAGTATGCAACCTGATTTAAAACAGTTGAGGTAAAATGTTCTTTTGTGGTTTATTTGAAAGAAAAGTAAGACTAAGATTACAATTAAATTATACTTTTTTTGGTCTGCAGTGGGGAAATTTCCTTGTTAACCTGTTTTATAATACATCTAACTAAAAAATGTGTTACCTGCATTTACATGTTGTCATGGAAATAGAAGGTTAATGCGATGTTTAGGGACCTTCTACATATAGATTGGTCAGTTTATGTCAAACTGTGACCGATGATTGCCCAAACTGAAATATTTCCATAAACAAGCAGGACTAGCCCTTTTTTCAGCACCAGTCAGGATTATGTAGATGAGGGCCTACACACAGTACGTACATGTTTCATATATAAGAAAAAAAAACATAAAAAAATAAATCTTACTTTTTAATACTTTTAAGTAATCAAACTGGTGGGAGTTAAATAATAAGATATACAGAATGAATAGATACTGCCGAAACCTTGCGTCTCTGTGAATTAAACCGTGGTCTATGCAAGAGACATTTTCCACTTCAAAGTCCTGCAAAGCTGGCCCTGTTCTAGTGCACCTGTCGCAGAGTCAGATGTGCAAAGTTGTTCGCTTTTTCGATGGAATTATCAAATTATGGTACTTTAATCATACCTTCATAGTCAGAGGTCAAGCTGAGGTTCCTGCTTGTTTGGGTCCTGGTAAATGACTTTTCATTGATGCTGTTGTTGCCCTGTCTTGCCATGTGGCCATTTGTGCCTGCTCTATCTCCACATTCCTGAATTACTGCTGACCCTAGTGTGCACACAGGATGTACTGCAAAGATGATTTCCCATTGGAGATCAATAAACACATCTGTCTTCCGCAGCTCACCCTGATGCGTTCAGTCCGCCAAAGCATCGTGGACGGCTGTTTCCCTGATTTTATACGCACGTTCATGAAGAGGATGTTTTCTTCTCCGGACCAGTATCCCAGCTGGGCAGTGGACGCCTTGGCATCTGTCAATATCACACTGCACTAAAGACTGGAAAAGGCCAACATCATTTTCCATGTCTGATCACAACATTTTAATTGGACTGATTGAAAGTTTTTTTTCCCTCTCTTTAGTCCTTGGATTCATCTTTTGTGAAAGTTTCTTCATTTTTAAAGACTATTTCATCCGGACATATTTATACATACATAAACAGCAGTGTTTGAAACTTTACACGTTTTCATAAATAATCACTGATGACACGAAGACTTGTTTTTTCACTCTTGTTAGTGATTTTGTGAAGCCATATTTTTTCAAATAAACGTGTTCAAATAAACTAATCTAAGGTTTCCAGCCACCTTAGATTAGGTGTGTTAACATCTCTGACAGCACAGAGGCCGTAGTGGCACTTCTTTAAAGCTGAATGTTCTTCTTGACATAAAGCCTCCAGTTCTTTTAAATTCCTGGGCCGTCTCGCATGGACTGCACATCTGCAATATCTACAGAGCATCATTTTATATATTAGGTGAACATTTGTTATAGTTTTGAAAATAGAAAACATGTTTATTTGATCATAAAAAACTTCACACGACCACTGATGATGAGTGAGGATTTTTTGTGTGTGTGCGTAATCATCCACAATCTGTAAAATACAACCGAATGAAGGACATATCTGCCTGGGTGTGTATTTCAAGCACAGCTGTATTTAAATATAATGTACTGTCTTGACTGTAATTTAACTTTGGATCAAACCCCTTTTATGCCTTTGTGGTTACTTATTTTTTACTCTTGTTTGTATTGAACGTTTCTTATAAAAGTATAATGCGTACATTTACCACTGAACCTTAATGTTTTTTGTATTCGTATTATAAAACTTGCCTTTCCAGTGCACATTATGGTAATACACATCTGAGTGGGGTTTAAATGGGCTTAAAGACGCAAACTATCAGCTCCCATTTACTCAGTTTTTGTCGTTTCCATGACAACTCAGACAGGCCCGCCCACAAATGTTTGGCCTCGTGTCATCCTCTGTCTCATTACTTCAGGCTAAGAGCTTTGCCTTGGCATTTTGTACTTCCCCAAGACAGACTGTTAAACACTTTCACATTTTCTACCTCATTGCTGCCGACTTAACATTTTCCACAGTTCTCTTTTAGAGTGTTGGTGATTGCCACAAGAGGGCAAAATACACAAATTATCCATGCCAAACCGACTGCTACAGAATTAAGGTGTGATAACTTACCATCTTAAGGGAAAAGAAGTCATAAAGAACACATTCTACATGCTTCACTTGGATCATTACTTTTTGTTCTTTTTGTTTTCAAGCTCATTTGGTAAGTACTGTTACTCCAGTTGTAATATGAGATAAAAGATTGCCAATAAAAAATAATCTATATATATATATCAGGTGTTCATGGGTTATGGTTTTTGAAAGTGGAATTTTGTTGGTTAAAGTACCTAAAGTTTGCTCTGGGCAATTTTTGCTAATTTGAGTTTTTCAAGGCACACCGGTGTTCCCCAGCACAAGACAAGACCTTAGAATGTTAAGAATATTGTCTACTCCTCATTCTATTTGCAAAAATAATGCAATTAGTGGAAAAAACCACTTCATTCACTGAATAAATACATAGAAACTTGCTTAATTAAGATTTGATCTTGGAACTGACAAATGTATTCACTTAATGACATGACTATTCCTTTGACCCATTGCTAGTGTCCATGGAAGACATTTCTGACCACTTGAGCTTTTGACAACATTCTTAGCCTAGATAAAATGCCAGTTGCAGCTTTATACGTATGCTGTATGTCTCCCTGTTTATGTCTCATTTTTAATTGAATTCAATTTACATCCAAAGTGATTTACCGTTCTATTTTTGCACAGAGGTTGGAGCTATTTATATCCCAGGGTTTCTCCTTAGTCATGATCGCATAACCTGCTTTCAGGGGTAGACTGGCGAATGTCCGTGCCAATTGTTCCTGACCTGAGAAGATGTCATTAATATTCATCAGTGGAAGTTAATTTGAATAACACCTGTGGCTTTGAGTCAACGCTTCTGTTAAGTAGCACGTTTCAATTTCATTAGGACTTTAATTGTGTCTGGAGGCTGAACAAGATAAATATTGTGACCTTTATTGTTTGCCAATCTAACGTGGTCAATTACATTTAGATTAGTGTAGAAACTTGTGAGATGTATCTTGAAAGAATAAGAAGAAGAAAAAACTAAACATACAAAATGATTTAGTTTCTAATCATGTTCTGGGTGTTGTTTAATCAGGGATTCACTAAAGCCGTGTTTTAATCCACCTTGCAAACGTTATAGTATGTATCATGTGTTTAAGCTATAGTGCATAGAGATGTCTTGGTGTCTCACCTCCACACTTGTTTGTTCTTAAGTTTTAGACAACAAATGGTTGAGGAAATGAAACGTAGGTAATGTCACATGTAATCTAGTTGAAACAAAATTCACTATTGGATTTGTTTTATCAAACTTACTGCATGTTATATTACCTCTTCATATCATGTTTAAATCTCTGTTTGGTTGAAAAAGATGAATCAAATACTAAAATACTTGAATAACTAACTATTTCAATAATACATTATTGATCAACAATAATTCAGTGGTTTTATATAGTGCTTTCTGGACACTCAAATACATGCCCTTATTCATTCACTACTTCCACTGTGGCGATAAACTACTATAGCCACAGCTGCCCTGGGGCATATTGACAGAAGCGAGGCAACCAGTATGTGCCATCGGCCCCTCCGACCACCACCAAACATTCACGCTCCTTCAAGGCAATGTGGCTGAAGTGTCTTGGCCTGAGGACACAAGACAGTTTGGCACTTTAAAGCCGCAGCCACCCCAGTGTGGCACCTGGTGTTCCCACATGTATGTTTATTTATATATAAAAAATAGATAAAAACATGATTTACGGGCTGTATTAAAAGCGAATCGGCAAATTGCCATGTGGCTTGTCGGTCTACATAATGTGTGTCGTGTGCCCACACAAAGGTTTAGGAACTGGCAACTCAAGTTTGACGATCAGCAAATGTTTCAGTCACTTTCAAGTGCCACTTAGTTAAAACTGTTTGTAAGTGTAAATAAGGTTTGCACTTTCGGCAGCTGCTGATGGGATTAAGCGTGTAAATCGCGTTAAGCGTCTGAAATTGAAGGTGCACAAGCAGATGATTGGAAGAATCCTCTGTGCATCGGCAAAACCCACCGTAATTGCTGCCTCAATTTACCCCGCGCTCTGAGGCGGAACTATTTGGAGTTTGTAGGATAAGTATTTGTGCGTGCACGTTTATGAGCGTGCGTACGGTCCAGACGTGATTTCCATCCAGAGGAACGCTCATGACCAAGTCTCAACTCTGGCAAGATAAGTGTCACACACAGATTGTGCAGACGGAGCATCCGCGCAGCCCGCACTGGAGCCACGAGGATGAGAGCCTCGCCACCAGTTGCTCCAGTCTGTGTCCAGCAGCAGCCTCTCTGTGAACGCTCCAGACCTGTTGCCTCTGCGGACCAAACACGGGTCCAACCCAGCAGCACAGAGGGATACGTTGATTTATCTCCCAGGAAGAAATGCAAACACTAAGGACGAGACATATCATTGGATGTTTGTCTTCGAGTTGAATTGCGAAGAGGATAGTGGAGTAGTTTCGCCTCTGAGGACGAGCTGCTCGCGGTATTCTCTCTGTGAGTGTTGAGCAGAGGGAGACCATGGTTGAGCTGGAGAAGGATGTGCTGCCGCTGCCTCCTCGGTACCGGTTTCGAGACCTGTTGCTCGGGGATTGGCAGGCGGATGACAGGTAGGGCACTTTACGCACGGCGCGCAGAAGATTATGGAATCCAAACGTTCAATCATTTTGCTTTGAATCTTTATGGTGTAACTTCAGATAAAGGTTATTTTCTGCTCTTTCACTTGATATTGTTCTGAGGTCGTTTGAAGTAACAGTTTTTCCCCATTAACTGCAGAATAGCAATGCCGTGCGTACAAAAATCTAAAATCTCAACAAAACAATGACTTCTGATATAGACTCTAACAATTGTCCCTCCTCATGCCTGCTCTGTTCTTATAAAATACTGATATTGCTGTAAAACATCTGCCACCTGGACATGCATTTTTAGTTTGATCATCTCATGGTAATCAACCTTTGCTTACACCCCATTTGCAGAGCAGTGCAGGAGCTATAGCCTGCTTAAATTGGCATTTTACATCTTGTATAATGGAAATCGTGATCCCTCCATCTTACGCACGATGCTTCATTCCTGTGACCTGTCCTAAAGTACATGCTTAAGGTTTTGGGCGGGTGCTTGATGTTTTTTAATTAATATATAGTATTTTTACTGAAGAGAAGTAACTGGAAAACCTGACCAGAGCAGGTCCAACTCTGAGAAGAGGAGGTTCTTAGTGATGATGTTTATCATTAGAGTAGTGTACACAGAGCCAACACTATGGAACATTTGCTTATCACTATGATCTAACTAATCACTATGTTGGTTTCTATTGAAGAATTATTTTCTTCTTGTGCTATTGACTAATGGATGTGGTTGATATTGTTTTATAAATGTTTTGATAAATACATTTGTAAGAAAACGGCATTAGGTCAATGATCCTATTTAGTATGTGCCATATTCTAATAACAGAAACATACATTTACCTTTGTGTTTTGCTCTGAAGAGTGGTTTTGGTTTGTGACACACGGGTACAGGGCCTGGGATGTGTACAGTATATGTGCTAATGTATCTCTATAATACTCAATGGAATATAACCTTTGTTGGCAAAATGTTCTTAAATAAGATATAGAATATTGGAAAACTCAAAGATACAATGATTTATAACCTTTACACTCCAGTCACTACGTTGTTCTTGTAATTCAATAATATTGATGTAATGATGCCATATTTTAATCATTACAGAACCAATGCAATATTTACTTGTAAGATTCCATTTGAATTATAATCCTTTTGAGAATTCATAGAATTTATCCGGTTTGCCAAATTGTGTGTGTTACTTTGTAGATTGGATAATCCAATTGGTAGAATGTTTCCACATCAACACTGTGCTTTCACCCTTTGTCATAAACCTTTGCATGTACAGTATTTCCATTTACAGAGAGCTCCTAAAGGTCAGAGCAGAAAGAGAGCAGCACACGGGTCAGAGGCCATTATAGTTGTATGTGGCTGATACAAGCAGAGATTGATAGTGGCTGAAATCTTAATTATAGCTGAGTTGTCATGTCCTGCCATGTCCTATTAATTTTATAATAGTCCCAATCGTGAAAACAGTTCCCTCACATATCCATCTGGATTCATAGCATGAAACCATAGCCAAGGAAACGTCAGAAAATGGGAAAACTGCTGCAAATTGCTATAATGCAATGGCGATTTTCTTGTCTTTACCTCACAGTGGGCTGGTATCATGAATCATTTTCACATGTCTCCTATTTTGGCTCATGGCAAAGATTAGGCTGTAAAAATGGTAAGACAAAACATTAGAAAAAAATCAAGTCATCCTTTATATTGGGTTTTTCATTTCTCGGGAACTATTTCATCTGGCATTCTACCCTAAAACAATCAGGGCATTTCCTTCTACTTTTCATGCATCACGTATTACCAATTATCATTCCACATCAATTTGTTTTGCCTTTAAGCCTTTTTGGACATTAAATTTGATACTCTTTTTGTGAAATTGGAAAATGGAAAACACTGTACCAGGTATTTCAAAAGGTGCCAGTCCAGCCTGATCAACAAACAAACAATAAGACCAAATGTTTCCAAGTACATACATCATTCCAGCCACAAGAGGTCAGTGTAAAGAGACTGGGTCATCATTTCACATTTACCCCTTGATTGTCCTTTATTCTTAACATAGTGAGAGATATGTTTGCGTAAGCTCTATAGTGAGATATAAAGAGGTCTAAAGCGTTTACTTAAATGGTGTATCTTTTGCTGAGCAGAGGTTCTAAATTCCACCAGTATATCATGAAACCCCGGTGCCAACATTTAACCCTCTCAGCCTCTTCTCGCCCTCTTCTCTCCTCTGCCTCAGCTCTGATTGAAGGGTCTTCAAAACCTGCTCTCATCCTTGCTCCGTCTCCGAGAAGCAGCCTACATTTTTATCTGGGCATTAGTGCTTTCTGTCAAGCATTCTCCAGTACCGACAGACATGGACTCAAATCACTACGTCTATTTCATGTGAAAGCTTTCTGAGCTTAAAAGTGAAGTCCATATACCTAATATTTCAAGTGAATTTGAATTCCCACTCCCCATTAGTATTTATAGTCTTTGTTGGTAAATGTATATATCATAGACAACATCTAACACCATTAATCCAGTATAAACATTTCATGCTGCCCTTTTTCTGCTGTCAAAACAAACAAAAGAACACAAACTTGAAACGACCGGGCATGCATTCAGTCATTTGTTTATACCTATGTTCATGAAGTAGGCTCAATCATCAGATCTAGAGAGACCTTTTCAGTATTTAGATTCGAGAGCGGTGCAAATATCAGGTGTAGCAGTGGGGCAAGAACAGATTGCTTGTTTGAATATTTTGTATAAACAATTGGTGTGGCCCATTGTTGTTGCTTTCCTGCCATTTGGACCCATGTCACATCCTGAATTAACTCGGAGAACATGTCCTGAAAAAGTTTACTGGCTTGAAAATGTTGCGTTGGGCGGCACAGAAAGTTCCTCAAAAAATAGACTTGGGAAGGAAATTCAGAGATGAAAGGATAAATGTGCTAGCTCTCTTCAATGGTCGTTCATGATATTGAATTGAATGTATTTGTGTGATCGAGAGCAATGTACTGTAAACACACACACACACACACACACACACACACACACAATAGAGAATCTGTTATGGTCCAGGTTATGGTAAAAGTGCGTCACACATGTCAAGGCCAAGCAGACGTCTTAACTTATGGCCAAAAGTTCCTGGCATCCATTCATAAAGTTTTCTTGTCATCCACCATGATTTGTTGAAACAGACACAAACAGATACATTTCAATAAACCATATGTATGTTGTGGAAAATTACATAAATACGATAGGGCCAACTGTTTTAACAATATAATCCCTTGGTCTAATATACTGTATATAATCCCATTTTGGTCTTTTTTCCCTCAAACTCTTGTTCAAATGTATACATTCAAACTGCATCTGTTTTAAGATGCTTTGGAGTTCAAACAATTGCCTGGACCGGTTAAAGCTTATATTCTGTAGCTTTGGCCTCCGACATATTTACTAATCATGAGTGGAAACATTCTCTGCACTGACAAAAATCGGATTCGTCATACGTCACCAACACACACCTTGACACACGCTTTAAGTAAAAACCTCAAAATTACTTTGCACATGCTGCAAACCCTTGACACGGGCAGCACATGAGCAATTACTAGAAAATACAGTATATATTTTTTCTCATATATATTTTATATCTATTTCTTAAGTTAACATTTCACAGAGTAGTTCAGCACTACAAGATGATTTTAGAATAAAACCAATATAAACATGAGGGGAAAAAACTGGGCCTATTGAGAACTTATAGCTTCTCTTCAATGTAGAGAGTTCAGTCAGATCCATTAAAAAAAATATGTAATTTGTCAGGTCGGCAGTAAAGTCCCAATCCTTTATGAAGTCAATAAAGGGTCCCTGAAAATACGGAACTATGACCTGCAAAGAGCTGTGACTAAAGTAACAAAGGCTTCCATCAAATCCTGCTGTGCCAGGCGTGTCAGCTGTGTCCCCTTGTTTAAACCAGAACATGTCCAGGCCGGTCTGAAGTTTGCTATAGAGCTTTTGGATGATCCTGAAGAGGATTTGCCACATTTCCTATGGTTAGAATTTTTGGTAAAAACCAGGAGGAGATAGAAAGCAGAATTGCATCCAAAGAGCACCATACCTACTGTGAAGCATGGGGGTGGAAACATCATGATTTGGGGCTGTTTTTCTCCAAAGGGATCAGGACGAATTGATCCGTGCAAAGGAAGGAATAAATATGGCCATGTATCAGGAGATTTTGAGTGAGCAAGGGACATTTTGGTGAGAACATTTTTGCTTTATATGCCTCACACTTGAATTCCATTTTACATGGATTCAATCTTTGTCAGGGAAGCATTCGAAGTGCATTTGTGATCTGGTCGGCCTCCAATGCTTCACAGTTGAGACCAGTTTCTGTGCGAGCTCCCTGCCAGGATTACCATAGAAATGAGTAAAGCTTTTTCTTCTTAAAACTATCTTTTATTAGCAGTCGCCTCCACACATTCTTTCATTCAGTTTCTGTCTGATGTGGTCCCAGAGCCTATACCCTCCTTGTCACAACTCTGGATGTATTCCCAAGCAGACCCAAGTCAAGCGTGAGCCATCATTATAATCAGTGCCTATTCACTTTTCTTTGACTCGTATGAATTTACTTACAGTTTTGATTTGAAGAGCTGAACTTATAGTTAGAAAATACAGTAGAATATAAATATACTGTAGGTCTAACATACATACAGTTGCACCTCTGTTTTTTTGAAGGGAATTATTTATACTTGAATCATTTTAGTGTTTGATTAATATGGTTTTGGCAGATCTTTGTGCACATTGCTGAATTTGATTCTTGTCGTATTGTCACACCTAAGGCAATTTGAATATAAGGACAGGTCTTTTAAAATACTCCATCTGATTAGACGAGTGAGATTCTGTGTATTTGTGACATGCTTTCAAAGATATGATGTTGAAGTCAGCAAGATCAGAACATCGAATCGAATAGTCTCAAAAGCATTATTTCTGACTTAATAAGTGGGAATTAAAGCAATGG